GCCGTCGACGGGGCGGTGGAGGCCACTCGGGGCGGGCGGGACAGACCCTGCTCCCTGCTCGTCGGCAAAGGTCCCGGAAGACTTTGCGCGTGAACGGACTGGCTCTGGCTTCCCCGGAAAACACCCCCGTCGCCCCCAGCCCAGCCCCTGCAGAGAGAAAAATGAGGAAGGGCGTGGAGGCGGGGCAGGTGCGCCCCGCTGGGGGTCGCGGGCACCCCGGGCCAGCTCTGGTGCTGAGACTGGGCCCAGGGGCTCCAGAGGCCGAGCTCACCAGGGCCAGCCCAGGCCGAGAAACTCACTTTTGAGTTTATCCGGAAAAAGCCGCTGAAGTGGCCCCGTACGGGGCTGGCGGCTCCCGCGGACACGCCTGCAGCGCCTGCGCCAGCGAGTGGGAGCCGCGGAGGAGCGGGCCGCAGGGGGGCGCTGGGTCCGCACGGCCAGGTGGCGCCCGTGCCCCCCCCAGGGGACCCTTCACCCCGTTAAAACATGTCAAGAGTGGGCGCTGCATGCGGGTGAAAGTCGCGTGGCCAGAGGCTCGGGGGGAGGCGGCGGCTGCCGGGAAGAGCAGGCCGAGCAGCCGCGTGTTGGGCGTTTGGGTGGGTCTGGGGCGCGGAGATCGGGATGGGTGCTTGTGGGCCCCATTTGTGGGCACGGGGCGGGTGCGCTTGCCCTGGCGCCCCATCTGCCGTGCGGCTGACGCCCGGCATCTAGCCTGCACCCCAAGAACCCACCTCCCCCTGCGCTGCCCTCCCAGCCCCCCAATCCCTGCAGTGCGGGGATGACGGCAGCCCCGGCGTGTCTTGCAGGCTGTTGATGGAGAAAGGGGCGGATGACAGCCGGGACCGTGGTCATCACCGGGGGCATCTTGGCCACTGTGATCTTGCTGTGCATCATCGCTGTTCTGTGCTACTGCCGGCTCCAGGTATGGGGGCCCTGGGGGGAGCACCCCGGAGGGCCGGGCCAGGAAGAAGGCCTGGGCCGGGGCGGGAACAGAGCAGACAGCCTGGACAGACTCCCGCGGGGGGCCAGGCGCCGGCCGCCCGGCTCACCTGGCCCAGGGATCTCCAAACACCCTGAAAGTCGAGGCCCTGAGGCCCAGAGGGTGACACACAGCTGCCCAGGGGACAGCCAGGGTGATCCCTTGGCCTGGCCACCCCACCTGTACTCTCTCTCACCCACCTTAGGCTGTCTGAGTCCCCCACATCTTCCTGGGAGAGGAGGGGCCACCTGAGCAGGGCAGGGGAGTAGAACCAGGGCAGTCAAGGCGCCTAACTGGGGCCAGACTGCCGGCTGGAGGCCCAGCACGGCCACGCTGAGGCTGCCTGACCCCGGGCATGGGAACTGGAGGTGGCAGCGACCGCTGCCGGGGTGGTTCTGCAGGTGGCACGAGGGGTCCTGGCGGAGAGCATCCGGGAGGTGCGGCCCGAGCAGCTCCCGCTGTGGCAGCAGGTGCGCCGGGCCCGGGTGCAGGGAGCGGTGGGGCGGGGAGAGTGGGGTGACCGGCCCCCTGCCCGCAGTACTACTGCTGCAAGAGGGACGAGTCGGAGGAGGACGAGGAAGAGCCGGACTTCGCCGTGCACTCGCACCTGCCGCCCCTGCACTCCAACCGCAACCTGGTGCTGACCAACGGGCCGGCCCTCTACCCCACGGCCTCCACCTCCTTCAGCCAGAAGTCCCCGCAGGCGCGCGCCCTCTGCCGCAGCTGCTCCCACTGCGAGCCGCCCAGCTTCTTCCTGCAGGAGCCCGAGGACGAGGGCGCGCACAACGGCGGGGAGCGGGTGGCCTACAGGGGCGTCAGCCAGGAGGACGCGGAGCTGCCGCCCGGGGGCTGCGGGGGCCTGCAGGCACTCAGCCCCGACCGCCTCTCGGCCATGCGGGGGGCCTTCTCCCGGAGCCGCAGCATCAGCACCGACGTCTGACGGGCGCCCCGGTGTGCCCCGCCGGCCCTGAGACCATGGTGGGGGTCCCTCAGCACACACACAGGCTCGGCCTGGCCTGCCCCACATCCCTGTCGTCACGGGGCCCCTGGGCTTGGGGCGCCTGGGCCCCGGTCTGTGGGGTTCCCCGGCACTCGGCGCAGGGATAAGGCGGGTGGGGAGGGTGCCTGCTGGCTGCCCTCCGAGGGCTGCGAGGGGGCAGGCGTGATGCAGCACCCCTGAGCAGCAGCACCTGTGCCTGGGGGCCAGCCCTGACGCCAGCTGCCCTCTGTGAAGACGCGGGGGACAGCGTCACGTGTGACCACAGCCCACCTGCCTGCTCTAGGGAGGGGTGGCCACATGGGGCCTTGCCAGCCTTCCCTGGCCGCGGCAGACTGTGGTCTCTGTCCCTTTATCCAGAGGGGGCCCCGCTTCTCCCTGCCCCCCATGACCCAAGTGCGACTGGACACTGGCTGGGCTGCCCTCCCTGCAGGCCCTCCAGAAAGGGGACTCTGGGGCCGCAGGCTTTGGGGACGTGCAACCCCAACTGGCTTTATGGTGAAAGAGGGGGACCCGGAGGGAGGAGCAGGCTGTGTGCTGGCCCCTGCTTTGGGAGCAGGCCCCACTACACACCACCCCAGCCTCCCACTGTGGGGGGCCGCACAGAGCTGTGGCCCCTGGGGACCGGGCCTCTCCCATGCCTGGCTGTGGTCTCCCCCTCTCTCGCGATATGGGCCCACCCTGCAGAGACCCTCAAGCTCTGTCCCCGGGGGCGACAGACCCTCCCTCTCCTGCCAGCCTGGCCTGTCCCCCGGCTCACCGCATCTCAGCCCACCCTCCACCGCGTCCCCAGCAGGGCTGGGCTCCCCACATGGGGACACGGCCCCTCCAGGTCAGGCTCCATCTTCTCTCCATAGCGCGGCCCCAGGTCCCCATCCCTCTTGGGGTGCTCAGCCTCTGGGCCCTACCAGGGAACCCCCATCTGCCCAGGAAGCCAGACCAGGCTCCCCAGCTAAGCCGTCCTCCCAAAAGGCAAACTTCTGCGGGCCAGAGGCCGCCGCTGACCCCAGCATCCCCTCTTGGTTGCACGCGGCCGAACCCACGGGGCAGGCGGCGGTGGGGAGCCGACGCTGTTCTCTGCCCTTCTCCCTGGCCTCAGCTGGGACACGCCAGCTCCCCGCAAAGCCCCTTCCTTTGTCAAACCCCATGAATTTGCGCTGATCCACTAGCTTGGGCGGCGGGGGGTGGGGGGGGCGAGGGCCGGGAGGCGGCACGTCCTGTCTGTTCTGCTTCCTGTGTCCTGTGGCGGCCTCTGGCCTCTGCAGATGCACACGCCCGTGTGAAACGAGACCAGAGCCCGTCCCCGAGCCACGCGGCCGCCGTGGGACCCGGGGCCCCCTGCTCCCCCAGAAAGCCGGTGCCAATAAAGCCCCTGCAGCACCCCTCTCTGACTCCAGCCCTCCTGGACTCCCGGCAGGCCTGGGAGCGACCACGCCCGGCCGCGCGGGGCAGATCTGGCCCTCCTTGTCTCAGCCCTCCACTCTCCAGCTGCCCGGGGAGCTCCCAAGACGGGATCCCCCGCTGAGCCCAGCGCCCGCAGGGCCAGTGGGGCGATGGGCTGGCGTCTCTGGGCTCAGTCTCAGCACCTGCACCGTGGGGTGATGCGACCAGCTCGGGGGGGCTTCAGGGAGGCCGGGAGGGGGCACTGAGAGGTGCCGGCCTGGCAGCAAGTGCACGGCGGTGCGGATGGGGAGGACGCACGGGAGGAGGTGGGGGGAGGGAGCGGGGACGGCCAGGCAGTGGGGTGGGCAGGGGACTCAGGCCTGGACGGAACCCCTCCCCGGGGGAGGCTTCGGATGGTGGACTCAGCTCTCCTGGATCAGACCAAGCCCTGAGGGACCTGTCTCACGGCCTCGGTGGAACTTCAGTGGCATTGAGACCACCACAGCCCCTCCCTGCGGTGCTGAACACCTGGCGCTGGACCCCGCTCTGGTCCTGGCTTGGGACAAGCTGGCCCAGGGCCCAGGAAGGCCGCCCGTCACCTCCCTGCTGCTGTCCCCCAGGAGACCCCTCCTGTGGCAGGGCCCAACCCATCCTGCCGCCCTGGCCTCCTGGCTGCCCCTCCCCCCACCGCCCACCTGAGGCCGTCTCCTGCTGCTGGGCGGCCTCAACGCCACCTCCTCCGGGAAGCCCTCCACAGGCCTGTGCCCGCCAGTGCAGGTGAAGCAGACTTCCTGGGAGGTTTGGTCGTGGCGATGGTGGATGCTCCCTGAAGGCTCAGCGTGCGCCCCGCCAGTCCCACCCCTGACTGTCTCTGTCCTGCCCAAGCGGGACAGCAGAGGTTTGGGTTACGGGACGTTCCTACCAGGCGCTGCCACCTCCTGAGTCCCACTGGACCCACAAACCCCCAGGTCCTGCCAGGACCCCTGCCGAGTGCCTCCAGACACCCCCCAGGTGCCCCACGCCCCACACCAGTTGACAAGCTCCAGAACGCTGCTCGCTCTGACCGGCACCCTGACGGCGCTCCTGCAGGCCCAGCTGGGGTGGCGCCCTCCCTCTCGCCCGTCTTCTCCCCAGGGAGCCTGTGCTGCAGCCCAGCCTGCCCCAATTCAAGGCCTCCCTCAGCAAATCTCCCTGTGGGGGCGGATCCGAGAGGCAGGCACCGCCTTCCAGGAACCCGGACGCCCTGTGGGCGCCCACCCCCGCCAGAGCCAAGTGGAGCCCCCATGCGCCATAAATACGACCCCTTTATTGACAAACACCAAGGCGCGCTGTGTCCGAGGCGCAAGGAGCGCCCTTCCCGGTAAAGTGCGTGGGTCCCTCTGCGCCCGCGCAGGCCGGGGCAGTGCGGCAGGGCGCGCCGGGGCGGTGACCGGGTCCGCCTGGCTCCGCATTCCTTCTCCGAGCCCCAAGCCCTGGGGCACTGGACCTCCCGGTCCCTTGGCGGGCGTGGGGGCCACAAACACGCGTCCTCTGGCTGAGGACAGCGTCCCGAGGCGGGCAGCTCTGTGGGGGGGCGCGGCAGGTGCTGGGGCCGTGTGCCCTGGAGAGCGGTGCAGGCGTCTTCTCGGCCCGGCCCGGCAGGCTGTCAGCGAGGCCGTGGGGCGGCGCCTCTCGGCGGGCTGCCCGCTAGGAGTGCGGGGGCCTGCAGGAGCGGCAGCAAGCTTTGCTGTAGTACCAGTGGCCGCAGAGGTTCACCTTGATGGCCAAGGCGCAGTTGGTGCCTGGCTGGTCCTGGCAGCTGTCGTCTGCGGAATGGGCACAGCAGGGCATGGAGAAGGGCATCAGGAGGGGCCAGTGGCAGAAACCCCGCAGACGGGACCCCACCCCCCAACCCCGGCTGCCCGGGACAGGGGGCGCTTCCACATCCACTGCCAGAGGCGGGTGCTCGTGTTCCAGTCTCTGTACCTTTCCTGCCCCGTCCCTCCCAGGGGAGCCACTGACCCCCTCAAGCCACTATACTTGGGCGGGGTGGTGCCCGGGGGCCTCTGCTCTCACCCTCCGGGGCCGGAACATCTCAGAAGCCCGCCAGCTGGCCACCCCCCACTCAAGGGGTCCAAACCAGAGATCACCGGCCACCCCTGGGGCCCCTGCGGAGCCCTGGCCACCCCGCCTGCTGAGTCATCGGCCCAGCCCCGCCCCAGGGTGCGCCCATCTTCAGAGGAGGCTGCTCTTTGCACAGTCCAGAGCCCCGCCCGGCTGCTGGGACCCCAAGCCCAGCTGGCCGCTCCCTCGCAGCTGCCCCCCCGGCTGGCCACTCCCCGCTCTGAAAGGGACGCGTTCCTCCCCACGGCCTCGCCCCCGCGCCAGCGCCCGCCCTCACCTGGGGGCTCCGTGGGGCAGGGCTGCAGGTCGCAGGCCTGTCTGCCCACTGGCCTGACCAGCGGGTCGCAGCCGCGCACGATGTCCGTGCCCTGGTAGCACTTCACGTCCCGCATCCGCACGCCCGCCCCGCAGGTCTTGGTGCACTGGAGGGGACAGCCAACGCCCGGCCGCTGGGCGGGGCAGGACACTCCCACCCCCCGGGCTGCTGAGTGTGGAGGACAAGAGACCGGGGGGGGGGGGCGCCCAAGGGAGCCTGGCCAGCATGCCCAAAGGCTCTGCCTCAGTTTCCCCATCTGTGCAGTGAGGGGCGGCCCCTCCGCCCTCGCCCCTCTGAGGAGGCTTGTCCCGGCATGCGGAAGGCTCGGGACCTGCGGCCGAGGCGGAGCTGGCGCCCCTCCTGTGGCGCTGTTCGCTGCCGGCCAGTTGAAGGCGCTGCCCGGAGCCGCCTCCCCCCATGGCGCCCCCGGCCAGATGTTCCCCTGGAAAACCCCAGCCAGCTCCCTGCGCACCAGGGACATCTGCTGACCCCAGTTCCCCCTCTGTCCTCCTGCCAAGGCCCTGCAGGCGGCGGCTCCCTCCCGCTCCCCCCGATGTGGGTGACCCTGCATCACCCAGGCATGTCTGGGGCCCGCGTCCTCGCTTCCCCGAGGGGGTGGGGGGAGCCCCAGCCTGGCCCGCTGCCCGGTGTTGCTTTGGAGGCGCAGGAGACCAAGAGCGCTTCGGCAGGGGTGGGGTGGGGGCCATGGGGGCCAGGCTCAATCTAGAGGCAACGAGAGGCCGGCGTGACGCTGGGACACGGGATGACCCCTAGAGAAAGCGGCTCCTGGCCAGCCCCAGTGCCCCCTTCGCCCCCCACTGTCATCAGGGCAATGGGGTCCCCCCCAAAGCTCCCAAGCTGTCCCTTTGGGGTCCTCCCCATCTTCACAGCTCTCCTCCCGCTGGACTAAGCACCCAGCTTGGCACCTGCACCCGCTGGCCCCCCCTCAGTGTGCTCCCGAAGCTCAGGGTTCAGCCCCCCGCAGCCCTCCCCTCCCCGTAGCAGGCCACTCCAGGATGGGGTGTTTGCTCCCAGCCTGCCTTGGCCTCCACAGCCACCTCCTGGACCCCGTTCATCCTTTGGGCCCTGGCTCTGTCCACACCTCCTCCCAAGGGACCCCCGCGCACCTGAGACGCTTCTCCCCCCAGGGGGCAAAATGAACAAGTGAATGAGTGAACAGGGAACAAGAGTTCCAGCTCCTGGACCGACCTGGTGCTATAGGGAGTACGAGGTCCAAGGGGGCCCCCCAAGTCTCCCTACTAGAACTCTGGCCACAAGGGGCTGAGGTCCTGGCCACACACTCCGGGCAGGCGGCACCGTGGAGCCCCCGGACGGCCCCACCTCTCAGGCTCTCAGAGCGCGCTCAGGTCTGGGGCTTCGGCCACCCCCACAGCCGCCTCGTGGCGAAGCCTCACCCTGGTGTCTTGCAGCTTGGCCCTGGCTGCACTGCCCCGGGGCCCCTGCTCGCACCCCCACCCCTGCCTGGGGGCCAAGGCCCTGGGGCTCCCCACTTGCTCCTGGCGATGGCCTCACTGAGTGGGGAGGGGAGGGGCACACGGAGACATGGCAGTGGAACAAGCCAATAAAAGGCTTGTCCAGACTGATGGCCTCGAGGCCAAAAGAAAGCCCCAGGGACCGTGGGGTCCCCCAGGCCTCCGCAGGAAGGGCAGAGAGGTAAGTAGCAGTGCAGAGAGGGGGTCTGCCCCCCGACGCCCATCTGAGAATCAGGGCACTCCCCACAGGCGGCAGCCAGAGAGCTCCACGCGCTTGGGGGGGTGGGCCCTAACTGGGGCGACCTCAGCCAGGGCTCCCTTCCCTTGGCGGATTCCAGTGCCAGCTGCCGCCCCCCAACCTACAGAACCCCCGCAGGTGGGGCACCCCTCTGAACTTCGGTTTTTCCCCCTCCAAACAGGATGGAGACCCCCTCGCCCAGGGCTGTTGGGAGAGGAGACCCCCTGGAGAGCCCCAGTCAGGGTCCTGCCCCCGGCCATGGAGGGGGGCTGGCAGCCTGAGGCCCAGGAACCCGCAGAGCCACGAGGGCAGCCGGCTCAGGCGTCGCCGCCCTGCCTCTGGCTCCACGCTGCCTTCTGCCACCTTTGCCCCGGCCACCACCTTGGCCCTGGCTCCCGGGGTGGGGCCCAGTCTGTGTGGGCCCCACGTGTCCCAGTTGCCCACCTGGGGTCAGCAGCCCACTTGCTGTGAAATGTGCAACTGAAAGGTTATGATGCGAGGCCAGAGTGCCTGGGCCGGAATGGCCCAGGAGGAACCCTGTGGTCCTGGGGTGAGATCCGAAAAGGCTTCCTGGAGGAGGTGGCTCTGCTGCCAACTGACTCCGCTGGAAGTTGGGGTGGAAGGTCCTGAGGGAAGCTGAGGGGGACATGAGGCACCGGGCGCGGGGTGGGGGCAAACAGGCCTGGCCGAGGCAGCCCCGGGGGCCAATCTCCGCTCACCTCAGACCACGGGCTGGTGTACCACTTGAAGCAGGGTCTCTCAAAGCACGTGCTCTCCTCGGGGGGCTTCTTGGCCAGCCCGCACTCGGGGCCGCTGCGCATCTGCGGCTTCCCATTGGCCAGCTCCATGCACAGGACCAGCCGCTTCTTGACCCCTCGGCCGCAGGTGGTGTTACACTGAGGGCAGCGGGGCAGCGGGTGGTAAGAGGCCGAGGCCGGGGGCCAGGGGCTGAGGCCAGGGGTCAGAGGCCCAGGCCAGGGGCCAGGGGCAGGGGTCAGAGGCCAGGCACAGGGGTCAGAGGCCAGGCACAGGGCTGGGTGCACAGGTGGGTCAACAGCCTGAGAATTGTTTGGTCCCTAATCATTTGGACCCTAAGAGATGTGATGCAGAGCTACTTAACAGAAAACCCGCTGTTTTGAAACAAAATCCGTCTGCCCAGGTGTCTCAGGCGAGTGGTGGTCCGGCTGGGGCCACCGGCTGAGGGCCACGGTCTGGACGACAAGCTGGTGACGGGGGGCAGGGGACACATCGGCGATCAGAGCCACGGGGGGCGCAGGACCCCGGCCAAAGCCAGGAAGGACCTGGGTCCAGGAAATGGGGTTCACGCCGTGGGGGCGCTAGCCCTGAAGCATCCTTGAGCGGCTGCTGATTTCTACTTGGGGAGACCTAAGGGACTCCCTACTTTTCTGACCTTTCACGGTCGCTGTCCGGGAACTGTGCGTGGTCACCCGTCCCTCCTGCCTGGGTGGCCCGCCTGCCGTCCTGGCGCCTGGTTCTCAGCCGGGCTCCCTGGGACAGAGGGGCCGGCCTGGCCGGGTTACTCACCCGCTCCCAGTCCTGGGCCAGCCAGTGGGCCGGGCAGTTCCTGTCGCCGCAGGGGTGGATGGCAAGGGGCTTGGTCTCCATCTGGCACTGTGACTCCGGCACCACCCGTCCGTCGCTGGCCTTGCAGTACACGTGTCTGATCACGCGGCCCTGCCCGCAGCTCCCGCTGCACTGCGGGGGGCGGGGGGGGACACTGGGTGAGAGTGGAGCCCTTCCCAGGGCCCCCCGACGTCACGCCCAGGAGGGGGACCGGCTCCCGGCGGCGTGGGGGAGAAGTCGCCTTAGCAACCGCTTTTAAAATAACACTTTCTGCTCCAATTACAGAGATTCCGTGTGAGTAGGTGTCAAACACACACACCTGAAGCACCCACTGAGGCTACACATGCACCCCGCCCCCACGGGGCCCCGCGACGTGTCTCCAACGAGACAGACAGTGGGACACGAGAGGCAGAGCAGTCACAGGGACGGGGACGCCGCCGCTTATTTGGGGTAAGGGCCTTGCGTCCACATAACCGCTGGGAGGCTACTGGGGCCGGCTGGGCGTTCTGCCCCCTCTTCATTCCAGGAAATGGGGAAACTGAGACACAGCAAGGCAAAGCTCCAGCCCCCCCAAAGCATGTGGGCCCGCCTCACCGGCCCCCAGTCGGAGACTGTCCACTGGCGATCACAGGGGGGGCCCGTGCAGTCCTTCTGCCCCACGGGCCTGGTGTTGGGGTCACACAGCTTCTCGTCCTCCGAGCAGCGGATGTCCCTGGTCACCACACTGTGCTCCCCGCACTTGGCCGGGCACTGCCCGAGAAAGCGGAGTCAGCGGGCCCAGGCGGCCCCCAGGCCCCAGGGACCCCGCCCCGGGGACCCCACTCCAGCGGCCCCGCCCGGGGACCCCGCACCTCGGACCACTCAGACATCTCCCACTGGGGCCCGCAGGCCGGGCTCCGGCACGTCTTGCGCTCCTCAGGCCGCACGGCCTCGGCCGCCTCGCACAGGTCGCTGTACACAGAGCTGTCCAGGCCGGGCGACAGCATCTTCCAGCAGCGCACGATGCGCACCTGGTAGCCCTCCCCGCAGGTGCGCGAGCACTCGCTCCAGCTGCTGGTCTCCCACCTGCCTCGGAGGGGAGGTGCGCCCTCAGCGACCCCGCAGGTGCAGCCCCCCCAACCGCCAGCTGAGCATGGCAGAGGCTGCCACCCAGACACCCCAGCTCGCTAGGGAGAGCTCGGGGGTGGGGGGCGGCACCCATGCCTGGTGGTGCCTGAGCCACACGTCTCCAGCAGCTCTCGGCCCCAGACCCTTGCCCACATGTCCTGTCCTCATCCTGAGGCCCAGATGGAGACACCCCCAGATGGAGCAGAGCCCCAGATGGAGCAGAGCCCTGGGACTAGCCGGGACCCCGGGGAGAGCTGCTCCTGCTGACCTTGGGAGGCAGCGCCCAGGTCCATCTGGGGACCCTGCCCAGCTGCAGCCATGCTGGAAAGAGGACACGCAGAGGGCCTATCTCTGACCCTCTGTGGGGGGACGGGAGCACTGGAGGGCTAGTGGGATGGGACTTCCCAGCACCCAGGAAGAACTCTTTTGGCATCCAAGTTCCTGCTTCGCCATGCGGCACAGGGCAACGTTCCAAGGTTCTGGCTGGGGACCTCGAGGCCCAGGGCCCGAGCCGTCTGGGGAAGGGCTGCGGAAGCACGGCGCTCGCCCAGCTCCCCGGGAGGCAAAGCCAAGCCCTGCGGGCGCCGTCCAAGACCCTGGGAGCAGGTACCTGGGCTGGCACTCCCTCCCAGCACAGAACTCCTGGACCGGCTCGGGACGGGTCAGGGCGTCGCAGTAGCTGTCGTCCACCTCGATGCCGTCGTAGCGGACACACATGGCGTAGGTTGACATGACCCCTGGACAAGGGAAGGGCCATGAGTGTCGTGGCCGCAGAGTGCCCTGGAGACCGGCAGACGGGCCATGCCCCTGGTCGCCTGATCCCCCTGGGCTGGTGAGTGGGGGTCACTTGCAGAGCTGCGCTTGCGGTCAGCCTATGGATCTGAACTACCTTCCTGTCCACACCCCAAAGCCCGGCCTCTTCTCTTTGTACCTGCACCCCTATTCAACCCAGCGAGGTTGGGGACCCAGTTCATGTCGCAAACCTTGGGTTTTAAATAAACCCAGATTGGCCCTGACAGAGGCACCGGGGGAAAGTCAGGGGTCCCTCATGTTCGTTCAACTGCCACCTGTCTGTGGGGGGTGGATGATGAGGGAGGGAGGAGTGGGTGACAGGGGCTGGGCGCTAGGTGGGTGTGTGGATATGGATGAGAAATGCAGCCTCTCCCGATGCAGTGTTAGATCCGCGCCCCCTGCCACCCTCCTGTGCCACGCCCCAGTCCTGTCAGACTCCTTTGTGAGCTTTCTCTAACCATTTGCATGTGTGCCGTCCTTAGCTCCCCAGGGCGCTCTGATCCCACCGGGGGCACAGTGTGCGAAGGCCCGGCCTTCACCTGCTGCTGTTCACTCCTCGGCCCCATCCCCACCTCTGCTTCTCCGGCCCACCCTTGAGCCTGGCACCAAGCTGGCCCACAAAACCGGCTAGGCCATGGAGGCCCCTGCGGAGGACTCGGGGTGACCTGGGAGAGGTGGCACGGGAGGCCCAGCAGGGTTGGCTGTTACTGGCATGTTCGAGAGAGAGGCAGGGCGAGGGGGTGCCCAGCCGGCCCGGCGCCCCACTCCCTGCCGGAGGAGCGTGTCTGAAAGCCTGGGCTCCCGCCTCCCTGGGCCCCACCCTGGTGGGACAGAGCCCCAGGGGCCGCCTGCTAGGGTTTGCTCCTCTTCTCCAGGGAGGGCAAGCCAGGCTCCAGCCCTCGGACAGGGGGACAGGCGCCCCTGCCACGTGGGTGCGATGTCCCGGCCTCAGAGACGCCAGCTCCAGGGTGCACTTGGGGGCCCCGCAAGCGCCTAGTCCCTGTCGGGGAGGGAAGTCCGCAGGTCCCCATGGAGAGTCAGCTCAGGCCTGGCTCCTCCCCGGCTGGGGGCTGTGAATGCCCAGAATGTAGCTGCCCCATCCCGGGAGGGAACTTCCTGGAGACTGAGACCGGGTCTGTGCCTCCTCTCAGCGCAAGGGGGCAGGGAGCCCAGCACGTGGGGGGCTCCAGTCCACGGCACCCCGTGTCCTGAGGGGTCTGGGGAACCACTTGAAATCACTGCAGAGACCCCTGAGCTGAGTCTAGACCCCTTCGCCTGCATTCTACTGCTCCAAGGTTTCTTCAGGGAAGACTGGCTGGGGGTGGGGGTGGGGCCCCAAGGAGTGGGGGCCCAGCCCAGCCAGCACCAGGAGGGGCTCAGTATGCCGGCAGCGGGCCTTACCTGTGGTGCATGTGGCACTGCAGGGCTCGTGGGACGACAGCTTCCACCGGTACATGTCCGCCGGGCTCACGCCCTGCTTGCGCGCCTTGGGCCTGGTCCTGAAATCAGGTCAAGCAGACAGGGATGAGAACCAGGGCGCTCTCGCCCGGCGCTGGCCGGGGCCTGCCCTGAGCCTGTGAGCCCTGCTGTCTAGAGCAGCCCGCTCAGTGCTGGGTGCAGGGAGGGCAGCTCTGGTAGGACGGAACAGGCGCTTCCACGCCGGCCTGGCCCGGGGTCTGTGCTCTGCGCTCTGCGCTCTGCACTCAGAATCCCTGAGCTGGGCCCCGACTCAGTGGGGTCGCCAGCCCCTGGACCTCAACAATCAAGCCAGAGAACGCTCAGCTGCCCACGGGGAGCGGCCACGCCCCTTCTGACACCCTCTGGGCTCTGTGGCGGCGCCAGGAAAGGCAGGCCAGGCCCGGCTCTGGCTCACGGCCGGAGCTCAGCAGCGAAGCCAAGGGTGATCAGGACTTCTGGTTTCTCTGAACCAGATGGTGTGGCGGCGCCACCTCTGTGTCCAGCGTGCGGTGCCTTTGCCACAAGCAGGGCAGGAGGCACAGGGCACACAGAGCTCAGGGCCCCTGCGCCGAGAGGCCGGGAGGTGGAGTCCAGCCCACACTCCCAGTGACCCGCGAGCCGGGGTAGGGGCCGCGGTGGGGAGCCCGGCCGACAATGAGTCTTTCCCACCCCGTTTCCCCAGACACAGGGCTGCAACGCGCTGCGCTAGCCCCTCGGACAGGTCCCTTTCTTGGGGGGCGGCATACGTGAGGCTGCCGGACCCACGCTCTGAATGGTCTGGGCCCTGCCCAGCTGTGCAGGAGCCTGAGGCTGGGCTCAGCCGGCACTGATGTTCGACGGCGCGCCTGCGGTTTCACGGGTGGGGGAGCGGGGTCCCGGCATCTCCCCTTGCCTGCACGTTGCCCTAGAGGCACGTCGGTCTGAGGACCAGAAAATAAGCTACTAAGATTTACTGAGGCGGCAGAGAAGGCCAGGAGGGCGGGACCCGAGGCCTGGGCCCCGCTTCAGTCTATGCCGAGCCGCTGGGACCCCCCACCCTGGGACAACAGGAACCCGCTCCGCCCTGGCAAGGGATGAAGAATAAAGGGAAACTCTCCCCTACTTCCTCCTTGAGAGGAAGCTTCAAAAGGACCCCTGGGAATCTGGGAGAAGACCCAGCTCCCCTGAGCAAGGCCTCCTGGGAGGAAGCAACCAGGAGGTGGGGACCCCCACTTCGGGGACCCCACCCTCCCTTCAGCAACTTGACATTCTCGCCAAGAACAAAGAGATGCAGAGACCCGACCCCATCTAATTACAGCCCCGCCAGCAGGCAGCCTGACTCATCCTGACTCCAGAGAGCGGCCAGGTTCAAAATAACCCTGCGGATTTGAAACACAAAAGGTATTTCTGGAGGGGCTGCCCACACGGCCTGGCGGCGCCCCCACCCCCACGCCGGCCCCGCAGAGGCGGCTATTGTCAGGCCCGCGTCGGTCTGTCCGGGTGTATCTGCCTGACGGTTCTGTCCGGGCAGCAGCACCAGGAGAAAAACACCCGGGAAATAACAGGCCCCTGCCCTCCGGCGCCCGCCCCCTCCCCTCGCCCCGGCAGCCAGGCCAGGCCCAGAGGCTCCTGGTCCGCCCTGCCCCGGCCGTTGCTGCGGGCCTGCGCGTCCCAGGCAGGGCCTGGCTGCGTGTCTGTGAAAGCCCCAGCTGCCCGCGTGGCTCTGCCTCCCTCCGGCTGGAGAGAGGGCGCCCCTGAGCCCCAGACGCCAGCCCCCACGCCTGTGTCTGGGCCCGGCCCTCCCCGGATTGTCGGAGGCTATTCTGAGAAGAGGAAAGTAAGCTTTCCTTTCGGGCCGCCCCCCACCTCTCCTCCCCCCAGCAGACAGGACTTCCTGTATTTGGACAATGCGTGATACCGGCGCGTCCAGCCCTCCCGGCCTCTCTCCCACCATCTCTGGTCCTGCTTAGCGGGTCCCTGAGGCAGCCGCCCCATCTCACCACCGGCACTTTCTGTGTGGTCGCCCAGTGCTGACTGCCGCGGGGCCGGCGCCGCTGGACGCTGTGGGGATGGACAGGAAAGGACCCAGAAGCCTGTGCCCTGGGAGCCTGGGAGCCTGGGAGCCTGTGCTGACAAGCCCCTCACTTGAAAGGGGAAACTGAGGCCTAGGAGGCTCGGCGTCGTGTCAAGTTGCGTGGGGCAGATTTGGGGCCGTGACCGGCCTCTACCTTGCACTGCACCTCACGGCCGCTGTGTTCCCTGCCTTTAGCCAGACTAGCAGTGGTCACCGATGAGCCTGTCCAGGGGTCCCTGGCCACAGAGAGCCAGCCTGCACTGCCGGGGCATGCTCTGCCCAGGCCAGGTCCCGGAAGCGTCCCCCCACGCCCCTGCACCCCTGAGGGCGGATGCAGCACACACCCTTGCTCTTTACGGACTCCTCACGCCACAGGGCTCATGGAGTCCTCCAGGTCAGCCTGGGGCATGGAGCCGCCAGGAACGGGCTCCTCACGAGGCAAGACCTGATTCTGAGCCCCCACCCTCTGCCCCAGACTGACACTCTGCACCCCAAGGCAAAGCCTGGCATCCCCTTCTAACCTCTGGGTACCCCCAACCCCCAAGGCCCCTCTCCTCACAAGCCTCTGGGCCCTGGGCCGGCTGAGCAGACAGCCCAGGAGCTTCTGCGGAAGAGCTGCCATAGAAGGTTCTGGAGACCTTGCTCTGCCCAGCAAGACACTCCCCCATAGTGAGGCCTCTCTGAGCTGGACCCCGCCCCCAAAGCCCCCGTACCTGGCCTTGTAAGTCCTGTTCCCGGCCGAGGTGGGCAGGCTGGTGCTGGCGTTGGGGAAGGGCGCCTCGGAGGAGGCGTTGGCGGCTCGGTCACTGCTCAGCTCCAGGTAGGACCCGTTGAGCAGGTAGGCACCGGCTCCCTCGCTGTCCTCGTAGTCCACGTAGAGGCTCTCGGCCGGGGGGCTCCTCAGGGCGCCCTGCGCAAAGATGCTGTTGACGGTCTCGTTGAGGGGGAGCTCCCTGGCGTTGGAGCCGGCAGCCCGCAGCGGGCCGGAGATGGCGTTGGCGGAGAGGAGCTCCTGGGAGGCGAAACGGGCGTCGGCCTCTTGGTCATCCTTGTGCCCTTCGAGAGCCGTCCCAGTGGCGTTGCTGTCTACAGGGGAGACAGGGCGCTCAACCTCCAGTGCTCCCCTCGGGGAGGGCTGGCTGCAGGCAGGAAGCTGGGAGCTGAAGCAGGTTTCTGCCCAACGGAAGGGCAGGATCTGGCCCCGGTCACCAAGGGCAGGCAGAGGGCAGCCTGCTTGCCTGCAGCGGGCTGGATAGCATCCCCCAAAATTCACGTGTGCCCAGAACCTCAGAACGAGAAGTCTTCCTTAGTTAGGGATCGTGGGACAAGGCCATTCTGGATTTAGGGAGCCCACATTCAGGGCTGGTGTCCGAGTAAGAAGAGGACACAGACACAGGCAGCGGAGAGGCCATGTGAGGACAGGGCAGAGGCTCAGGGATGCAACCGCAAGCCCGGGGGGCTCCAGAAACTGAAAGAGGCATTGAAGGACCCTCCCTTGGAGTCTCCAGAGGGACCGGGCCCTGCCGAGCCCTGGGCTCCGGGCGCCTGGCCTCAGAGCTGCCGCGTCTGCCCCTCAGCTGTGACCACTGGTTCCGGGGCCCAGGACACTGATAAACCTCCAGGTATTTTCTACTGATGACGCCGGGTTCTCGGAAGCTTGCCCAGGTCAGTGAGGGGACCACCCCCAAGACACTCCACCCTCTGCCCCTCAGCTGCTGTGATGTTCCAGACCAACCGTGGGGAGCAGGGGCCCTTGGGCCCCACCTACCCCATCTTCAATCACACCTCCGGGCGGCCTTGCTTTCCCTCCTGGTCTTCACCCTCACCCCAGCTCCTCCACCCTCCCCCAGTTAATCCTCACTTGTTACGAGCTCTCAGGTCAGGGGTCACCCCTCTGAGAACTCGGGGTCCCCCCAGGCCCCTGGCTGTCTGGCATTCTCTTCCAGGGCTCCCGCCACACCTTGTCAAGCTGCCTGTCCATCTGTCTATCTGTCCCGAATGAGCAAGGCTCTGGCTTGGGGTCAGCCTGTCTGGTTAGTCCCCCCTGGGGACCGTGTGACTCGGGCGAGCCTCCGCCCCCACCCGCCGGGCGGGAGAACAGGTCTCGCTCGTGGAAGCCCGAGGGCCGCACGTGCCCACCCCACCAGCCTGGCCCGGGTGGCCCCTCTTGGGACCCTCTCTGTAGCCTCGGGCTGAAGCACCAGGGTCCCTCAGCCCCCCGCGCTCCCCAGAGCCCACCGGGCCCCCACCCCGTTACCTGGGAAGCCCTCGCCCCTGGGGGGCCCCTGGCAGGCCCGGCCGCCGGCCTGCTCACAGAGCTCGTTGGTCTCCTGGCCCTTGCTCCGGCCCAGCTCCGGGCCTGGGAGGCCCAGCAGCCGGTTGTCCAGGCCCAGCCGCTCGGAGGAGGCCTGGCCATAGAGGGAGGCGTTGCGGTGCAGGAGGCCGGCCAGCGCCGGCCCGGCCAGCTCCTGGCTCTCTGCGCTCTCAGAGGCCGGCTGCGAGAAGCCGTAGTAGACGGGCGGGGTGTGGCGGGCGTGCGGCGGCTGCAGCAGCGTGTACTCGAAGGTGATGGAGGGGCTCTTGCCGTTCTGGTTCCACACCTGCGGGGGAGAGGCGTGGGCCACTCTTTCCGCCCAGCCCTCCCCGCCGCCCAGGAGGCCATGGCCCTGGGGACAGCGGCCAGCCCTCCCCACCACACCCACCCCCGGCTGCACGAGGAGGAGGGAGTGCAGGCGGTGAGGGTGCACGGCATATAGAGAACGTTCTAGAGGTAACAGAGCCAGCCTGTGCTGTATCACTCCACGTGCCTGGAATCCAGGTAAGGCAGGCACCCCCCCCCACCGCATGCACCTGCCCTCCCCCTGCCAGCTCAAGAGGGGGGGTGCCGGGCCCAGGCTCCCGAGGGCCAAGGCCTCTGCTGACACTCCCGGCAGCAGGCGGGGGGCCCCTGCATCTCCCCAGCAGTGCGGATGCAGGGCTCACGGGGCTGCCACAAGGGTGGAAGTGCCGCCTATCAGGAGGGAGAGGCCCCGCAGAGGACCAGCGTCCTGGAGGAGGCATGAAGGACCCGAGCACCCGGATCCCTGAGGGGGTGGAGGGGTGTCCCCTCAGCCGGGCTGGAGGCACAAGAAGCTGTCGCAGAGCTGCTTCTCTACAATCCCAGAAAGGGGGTGCCAGGAGTGATAGCACCAAGGGCAACGGTGGCCGGGTCTGGCCCACAGAGAGCTCTGAAGTTCTGAGAGAACAAAGGGCCCCAGGGGGCGAGAAGCCAGGCCAGAAAAGGTCCTCGGCCTGCCGCACAGACCCTCAGACGTGGGCAGGGAGGTGACCGGGAAGCAGGGGCTGCCCCCTGACACCCCAACCCCTGTGGAGCTCCTGTGCCACCTTCAGACCCAGAATGCACTGAATGCAGAACCTCCAGGCCCAGGAAAAAGGATCCAGAACAAGAGCACATGGGACTGCTTGCCCCACCCCCACCCCGTTCCTCCTGGAAGCGCCCACAGCGGGGCGCTGGCTGACGCTCCTGGGGAGGGACAGGCCCTGGGGCTGGGGCCAGCATTGTCAAATCTCTCATTGCCCCGTTGCTGGGAGCACCTGCGGGCGACAATCACACCCTGGCCCGGCCCAGCTCCCAGAATGCCCGGGATCCCCTCGATGTTTAACTGGGAGCTGGCAGACCCTGGGCCTGCCCGTGGTCCACGCCAACCGGACAGGGGCTCCATGGAGCCTGTGGCAACCCCGCCCCCACCCAAGGGGTAAACCAAACCAAGACACCCCAGGGGCAAAAGGAAGTGCGCTGCCCTTCAAGACCTAAAGTGCAGGGGTCCCAGTGCACCCCCATTAAATTCAACAGCCTGGACACTATAAAGCAAGACCTACCCAGGAGGGTGACGTGAGCTGCATGCCGGCTGGGGCAGCAGGTGGAGGGGACCTCAGGAGGGCCCCTGGTGGGGGCACAGAAAGTCACAGTGGCCAGAACCCCGGATGAGTGAGCCTGACCGTCCTGGGTCACAGGGCTGGCCGGTCGCACTGCCCCCAGATGCCAGTGCTGGCCAGCCTTGGCCTGGGCAGCCTCTGGGGTGGCCTGGCCTCTGCTGGTGCCCGGGCTGAGCAGAGCAGAGGAGGAGGCGCGGCCAGCAGCCTTGGCCTGCACCTGTGTTCTGAGGGTGGGGACCACCCCTGTGGACCCAGGCAGCGCCCAAGGCAGGCCAGGACATGCCCTTGAAAACAAAGGACATCTGAGGCCTCCCACCCACGTCGTGAAGAAGAACATCAGCCCAGCGGGCCCCATAGCTGGGAGCACGACCTCCCACGGGCCCATACCAGGGGCTGCTTGGAGGGTCCCGAGCAGACAGGTGGCCTGCAAGGGCAGCTGCCGCCTGGCCTTGCTACCTGGTCTGTCACCTGCAGTGACGCGTAGAACCCCAGAACTGCCCATGATGGCATCGCCTGGGTAGCTGACAAGTTCCTTCCGTGTCCCCGGAGCTGGGGCCCCCGCTGCGATGGCCTCCTCTCTGGCCACTGGCATAAAAGTGCCTGGAAAGCTAGTCCCCAGGCTAGCCTCTGCCACCCCCGAGAACACTCCATGCACCCCCACCGTGAGCAACCCCGGGGGAGGGGTACAGCACTGCCCAGTCCCCAGCACTGGGAGCAGCAGCGCCCCTGGGGGGCAGGGAGTCCAGGGGAGGCGTAGCCCCCAGTGCGGCAGGACAGCAGGCTGCACCCCTGCCCGCCCTCCTCCTGGCCTCTCTCCCCGGGGTGGGGGTCAGCACAGCCTCCCGCTATGCCCAGCCCACAGGGGCGCTGCTAAGGAACTGAGAGGGGGAGGGAGGTGGGTGGCTGCGCCGGTGGGGGCTGGGTAAACAGAGAAACGAGCAGGTAGGAGAGTCCCCACAGGAAGCAAAACGTGAGGGAGTGAACGGGTGACTCCAGAAACGAGCGGGCGCCAGTGAGCAAGGCCGGCCGCCGATGGAGCCAGGCCGTGTGCATGCCCCGCCCAGCGGTGCCCCTGGAAGCCCCTGCCCGGTGCCGCCCGCAGCCCGAGCCGCCACACACCCACCATGACGTTCAGGCCCTGGTTGGTGGGCCCCTGGGCCACGATGTACTCGATGCCCGTCTCGTACACGTCCATGGGCCGCCGGTACTTGACCACGGTGCCGGCGATGTTGAAGTTCTTGGGGCTGTCCACCTTGAAGTTGCCGTTGAAGAAGTAGAAGCCAGCTTCGTCGGCGAGAGCTGGGAATGCAAAGCTGGTCGGTGAGCCTGGCCGGGGAGGCCAGGACCCCGAAGGCAGGAAACTGTGCGCGGGGAGCAGGACACGCGGTGTCCAGCATGCAGCCCTGGCCGGCACAGGCCAAAGAGACGCGGTTTCCTATCGGTGCAGAATAAACGGGGAGGCCTCGTCCACTGGTAGCCGCCCGGGGCCCACGGCCCTGTGACTTGCCACCTCTGAGGGGCAGAAGGGTTGCAGCCGTGAGCAGGGGCTAGACCTGGGTCAGTGCCTGGGGGAGGCACACAGAGGGTTGGCCAGGTCAGACAGGGGGTCCAGCCTGGGCCGGCCACCACCCCAGCTCTCCTACTGGATGATGGGGGGGGGCTTCCGTGCCTTTCCAGGGCACCCCCGTACCCCAACGGCTGCCCTGAGAACCCCTGAGGCCTTCCCGAGCCATGCTCCAGCGGCCCAGGGCGCCCACGGCCATGCTGGGACAACTACCGGCCACATGTCCCATCCACCACACTCCCCATGGCCAGGCACATCCTCCGTGGCCGTCTCCTGGAGACAGGTGCAGGTGGACACTGAGTCTCTCGGAAAAACGGCCCCATCCCAGGGCCCGAGTGGAGGCTGAGGATGCCCAGACAGGAGTGGAGGGTGTGCAGCCCCAGTGGCCACCTCCTGCCAGCCCAGAGGCTGGACATCTGCCCGGAGCTGCTGCCATCATGGGGGTAGCCGGCAGGAGAGCTGCGCGGGTGAGCGGTGACCCTTGCAGCCCCGGGGGATGGGTGCAAGGCAGTGGCCCCCCACTCCCAGCGCATTTTCCAGAGTGTCCAGCCTCCGAGGTGCCACAGAGGAGGCAGCGGCTTGTTCAGAGTCGGCAGACGCAGCGAGCCTTGCTCGTCCACAGCAAAATTGCCCTCCATGCCCAGAGGCCTGAGTGGCCCCGAGGGCAGGTGGGGTGCGGCGGCCACTCGACCCAGCGTCCAGGGCCACGCACGGGCTAAGGCCCAGCCAAGGCCTGCTTCCCGACAGCAGTGCCCTTCTTCCTGCGGCTTTCCCGGCGCTCCGAGACCCCTGCTATTTCCACACGTCTGTTTCGAGAACGAGGGCTCTGCAGCCAGCTCTGGGAACACGGCATTTCCTGGCCGGCCCGCGCTCGGTGAGCCACAGAGCACCCGGCCTGGCAGGGCTGGAGCAGGCCCTGGGTGCGAGGCCGGGCAGAAGGACTGGGGGACACACGGGTCTTGCTGGAAGGCCTTCGGCAAAGCCCCCACCTAACAAGTGTCCCCCAACCAAGGAGGTTCCTCCGGCCCTGGCTTGTGTGCAGCCACCCTGAGTGGCGGGGGTCAGACAAGCATCCCCACCTGGACCCCTGCCGGCCATCCAGGGCAGGCCCGTGCAGGCAGAGGTGTCGGCACCTGCCCACCTCAGCCAGAAGGGCCTCAGGCTGCCGCCTGGGGAGGCAACACTCCAAGAGGGTCCTCAGAGAGACCTTCCAGAAAATGTCTCAGCTTGGGCCTCACCCCCAGGCTCTGCGCCAGCAGCCCCAGAGTCCTTGAGCTGGTAGCCCAGCCAAGGCCCAGCTTCCCGCCAGGCCGTGTGGAGGTGAGAACGTGGCCGGAGAGCCCCAGGCCCAGCTTCTTGCCCACTTCCTCTGGCCCCACCTGCTGAGTTCCACTCGCGCCTCGGGCTCCAGGGTGCCTCCTCTAGCATCTCCAGGGGGTGCTCCACACATGCGGGGTATAGGCCTCTGGGCCCCAGCTTCTCCCCAGGAAGGCATCGAGGGTCAGGGCCTTCCCCACCCACGGGGCGCCCCAAATACGCACCCAGGACATCAGCCGACTTCTTCCGCTCCACGATCTGGATGTCGCGGGCACCGGCCGGGATGTGGGTCACCAGGGAGTAACCTGGCGTCAGACGATAGTGAGCCGCAGGGCTCCGCTGGGAGGTGGGTCTGGATGGTGGTCGCCGGGGTGCCGTCCAAGGCAGCCCCGCCCGACACCGGGGTCCAGCCCAAGCGGCTCCAAGGCTGACCCGCCGCCCAGGCCCAGGCAGTTCTCCCGGGTTCTGGCCTCCTTGTCCACCCAGCCTGGGGGTGGCTCTGCCGGGCCCTGCCCCGGCCTTTCCCGAGGGCCCTGGGACCCTGCAGCCGCAGACGCGACCAACTTGGCTCCTGCTCTTTGGGGGAGCCCTGGGTGCCTGCAGTAAGCGCCGCACCCCAGCCTCAGCTTCCGCACTGGCTCCTGCTCCGGGCCTGCCAGGGCTCCAGGCCCCACGGGCACCCCGACGCGGCGGGCGCTCTTACCTAGGTGGGCATTGCCCTTGCGGAAGTTGCCCGTCACGTGGGTGCAGCTGCTCCCGTCGCCCTGGCAGACGCCGCACTTGTCCAGCGTGTGGGTGGAGAAGAGCACCCCGTCACAGCCGATGGGCTGCAGGAAGGAGCGGACGGGGCTGCTGGAGGCGCCTGGCCACGCCTGGGGGGCGGGCGGCACGGGGCCGGGCGCGGGGGCTGCAGTGTTTCACAACCTCACATTTGCCAGACACGCAAACCCCCCGCAGGTCGGCGAGCTTGCAGGACGTGCCGTCGCGGGCGGGCACCATGAGCTGCCGCTGGCCGTCCAGCGTGGTGCAGTGCAGGTCGCAGGGCTTGCTGGAGATGTGCACGTAGTCGTCTGCGGGCGACAGGTCTCAGGCTGGGCCCCCGCACTTGGGGGCCGGGGCTGGGGCCGGGACTAGGGCTGAGGAGGCTGGCCCGGGTCTCAGAGGTAGGAATGGACCCAGATGCCGGGGCCTGGGGCACCAGCTCGGCCACTCCCCCTCTGCTGGGGGCTCCCCGGGGCCCCAGCACTACCCCAGAGAGCCTGAACCACAGTGACCCTCCGGCTGACCGGCCTCGGGGCCTCCACCCTCCCACCTGCCATGGGCCTCCCACAGTCCCCGGGAGGTGACCCCTCCAGGGCAGCGGCTCTGCCTGCCAGGTGGCCGGGGCGGGTACCAGGGTACAGGGGCTTCCACTGGTGTGTGCGCCCGTTGTACATGTGGGAGTTGAAGGAGACGCACTGCTCCTCGCGGAAGCTCCTCCCGTCCGCCGGACACTCCTGGGGGGGGAGGGAGACGGGAGGCGGCTGAGGAGGCGCGGCTGACAAAGGCGTGTTTGTCCGGCTGAGCAGGAAGTGGCTGCAGCCAGGACGCAGGCCCAGGGCCCTCTCATTCTCAAGATCCCCCTCCTCTCTGGAAGGAAGGAGCCCGGCGGGGCAGTCACATCCCGCTGCGCGACTGCTGGCCCCTCGCTCTCGGGGGACCCTCTCCTGCCTCTGTCCCCCGCGGAGCCGCCCTTGTGTGATGGGCAGTGGCCACAGCTTCATAGGGCAGGACTCCTCGGGCAGGGGCAGGGCCTGCCAGGCCACCAGGGCTGGAAGCCCACATGGGGCCGCACCCCAGAACACAGTGCTGAGGAGGACAGCCGGCTGATGAGGCCGACAGAGGTGCAGCCCCTCCCCTCCCTTCAGTCCCGAGCCCCTGAACCCCACATGGACACAGGGACACAAGGGAGACCCCAAACAGCTGCCTGGATCCCTACCCCACACCCCAAGATTCAGGCTCAGACCAACTTCGGCCCCACGGAGGCCTGCTTGGAGGCCAAGTCAGTGGGGACGCCTCCTGCCCCCACCTGGCCACGGAGAGCCAGCACCCCGCTTGTGGAGAAGCCACAGTGGCTGAAGCAACGGGGCGGGAGCATGGGGCTGGAGCACGGGGGCTGGAGCATGGGGGGCTGGAGCACTGGGGCTGAAGCACAGGGGCTGGAGCATGGGGGGCTGGAGCACTGGGGCTGGAGCACAGGGGCTGGAGCATGGGGCCTGGAGCACAGGGGCTAGCTCACCGGCGTGGCCCTGGGTGTGGGCGACAGTCTCACAGGTGGAGATGGGGGCCTGATTGCTGGCTTCCCAATTGCAAGGGGGCTGCAACCAGAGACCCCCACCCTGAGGCTGCCCCTCCGGCTCTGCCAGCTAAAGGGAGTCCTCCCCAGCACGCGCCGGAGCACGTGGGAGCACGTGGGAGCCACGGGATTGGACTTGAAGGCAGAAGGGCAACCCCAAGCAGGGCCCTCCCGCCCCTTCGTAGCCCTGAGAGCTGCGTGGGGTGGGGCGGCTGTCGTTCACCGCCCCCGTGGCCTCACCTGCACACTGCACAGCTGGTACCTCTTAGACGTGCCGGTGCAGGTCCTGTTCCCAGCGCCCGTGACCGACGTTCTCCTGGGGGTAGATGGGGTTCTAAGCCCAGGCCCAACCCTGCGCCTGCCTGGACGGCCGGACACCCCTGCTTCCTCTGACGGGGGCTCCTGCTCCTCGCCCCGCCAGCCCGCCTAGCTCCCAGGCGCCTGTGGTTTGGGGGTGTTCTCGTCCTTCCCAGAGGCTGGTATCCGGGGTGCCTGCATGCCAGGCCTGGTGCTGGGGCCGCGTGCTCAGAACCAAGATGGCAGCGTGGCCGCGTGTCTGGCCTATGCCAAATGCAGACACGCGGAGTCTCGCCTGTCCTCAGAGAAGTCAGGCGGACGCCAGCGTGACCTCCAGGACACAGAGGAGAAAACTGGAGCTCAGAGAGGTGAGGGACCCGCCCCAGGTCACAGAGCCGGGAAGCCAGCCAGGTCTGCCCAGTGGTGAGCACCACTGCTCCCCGAGCCCCTCAACCCAGGTCCAGGTGAGACCCCTCCCCCTGGGCAGTGAAACGGGAGAACGCCCCGAGACCCTGCAGCACGCGGCCCCTCAGACATCCTTCTCGGGCCCCCTGGAGTCCCGGCCTGACGGTGCCACCTCACACAGACGGCTCCTCCCAGCCTGAGACCCTGCCCACGGCTGCTGCCCCTGCTGCCCACCCCCACCCCAGCGCCCGCCCCGGCCGGGCTGGCCACCTCTGCTGCAGGCAGTGCCGCTCCTGGGACGTCACGCCGGCCCCGCAGCTCCGGGAGCACGCCGTCCACTTGGTCCACTCCCCCCACCAGTAGGCGGTGGCATCCGCACCCCCCTCCAGGCTGTTGGAGGTCGGGCCGTAGTCCTGGGTGAGACCACAGACGGTTAAACTGCCCGCAGCCCCGCGCCCGGACAGGACCACAGCCCCTGGCGGGTCACCGGCTGCACCACAGCAACCCGGGCTCGGATCCCTGGGGTGGTCTCAGAGGGAACCCCCAGGAAGCTGTGGGCCTCAGTCGTCGTCCCTGATCCTGAGATCTGGAACATTCTGGAGGTTGGGCAGGATCCTGAGTCCTAACCATCTACTTTGTCCCTCCTCAGCAGCCTGGGGCCAGGCCCAGGTTCCGCAAGACACACGCCCCATCTCCACGCCCAGCTGCGCGAGGAAAGCACCCGGGCCCTGGACCTTCTGCCCGGACCCACCGAGCCAGCAAGGGGCTGGCCGGCCCCGAGGGACAGGGCCCCGGAAGGGGAGGCTCCGGCCTGTGCCTGCACGCCTGCCACCCGGTCCACCTGAGGAGGGACTCGCTCCCACTCACCATGGCCACACTGGACACCACAGTCCCAGCCGCAAGTGCCATTGCCAGCTGGAGCCAGGCCCAGCCTGAAGGCCACCATCTGCCGTCCATCCTGGGAAGCGAGGCTACTGTCATCACCAGCCCCCCGTCTGTGACCAAGGTCTGCGGGGGTGGACGGAGGGGCCGAGGGTCTGGACACAGCCCATCTCTGTGGCTGGTAGGACCGGCTCAAACAAAAGCACCTGGGACTTCTACCCACTCAGCTCTTGGTGACCCGTGGGGGAGGGCCTCCGCCAGCCCTGGTCCTGCTGGGAGGCCCCTGGACACCTCAGCCCCGCAGCCCTTCCTCTCCCAGGCCTCGGCCTCCCACCTGCCCCTGCCGCCTGGAGAAGGCGGCAGTTTGTGCCCCTGACCGTGAGCCGCGACGCCACCATCACCCCGCTTGAGCGCCCCAGCCCCAACATGGCCCCACCTCTCTGGGGGGCTGGTCTCAGTCCTGAGCGCCACTTGCCAGCGATCTGGAGAAGGGGTTTCAGAAGCCGCCACGCCTGCTCCTCTAGCCTGGAACCCAAAAGGCGAAGCCGGCTTGCCCCAAGCCCCGCCACACCGTGCTGACCAGCCCCCAGAGCCCAGAGCAAACTTGGGGATGCCGCTGGCTAATTCCAGGGAGGGAGGGTGTGAAGACGCTAACACCCGCCACAGCAGCCCTGAAGTCCAAATCTGCCCTGGCACCCCTCCCTCGAACCCGCATCCCTTGCAGCCCAGGCACCTGCAGAGTTTCAGGAGTGCCCTGCGGTGCCCGTGCCCCCCAAGACAGGGCGACAGTTCTCCCTTGAGCTTGGAGACAGTGTCCTTGAGGTCCCCCCGGGGGAGCTGTCTGCCCCCCACATGGTCCTCCTGCTGCAGCCCCCCAGCCTCAGCAAGCACAGAGCCCCCCTTGGCGGTCCTGCGGGCTAATGGGTGCCTCAGCTCCCGCCTGCCGGCTGAAGACAGGTGCTGAGCAGCCTCACACCTGGTTTTCATTAAGGCCCAGACACTGCTGGCTCGGGGCCAGGCCTGGCTCGCGCGGGGTCCTTGCCTCCCTGGGGTCCAAGCCCAGCCACCAGCCCAGCAGAGAGGCTCAGGCACAGGCGCTTCAGGCTCGGGCAGGGGGCGGGGGGGCTGCCTTGGCGGGCCCTGAGGGTCGAGGGCTGGGACCCCTCCCCTGAGCCTTCCTCCTGTTACATAACACCCCCGGGGGCCAGGGGTGCTCTGCCCCCAGCCCCTGACGGGGCTCCGCAGGCCGGAGGATTGCAGCGGCCGGGATGGGTGGAGGTGCCTACCTGGCCCGGGCTCAGCAGGTTGTCTCCGGAGAGGGGGGAGCGGGCAGCCAGGTGCTCGGCAGGGGAGGCTCTGCCCTCTCCCGCCTCCTCCTCCCTTCGCTGCCTCCCCTCCACTTCCAGGAGCGCCCAGAGAGGGGGTTCCCAGAGAGGCAGCAGCCCAGTGCCTGCTCTGTGGTGCGGCTGCCTTTATAGCTGTCGGGTAGACAGGGAGGAACTCGCACTTCCCACCAGGCTGCTACCCCGCCCGCCGCAGCCGGCCTGGCGCACACTTTAACCCGCTCCGCGCCTCTGGAGCCCGGCCAGGCCGGCCCAGCTGCCTGCTGCCTGCTCCGCCGCCGCCGCAGCCCAGGAGCAGCGAGCAGGGAGGCCGCCTTCCGGGGCCAGAACTCGGGACCCCACGTCTGCGTGCAGATGGCGCGGCCGCCAGCGGGGTCACGGGGAGGCCGGTGGTGGCAGAGTGAACCCCAGCCTTGACCCGGCCGTTGCTGCCTCCACGGGGCCCCAGTCCCTGACAGCGGAGAGTGGAGCCTGGAGCCGGGCTGGAGGAGGGGGCCGGTCTGACAGCTCCAGCTCGGATGAGACCAGGCGGGGGGAGGGGCCGCCGAGGTCTCCCCGAGGAGCAGAGCCCTGAGCAGGTGGAGGGATGGAGGAGACCCAGCGAGGCTCAGCCAAGGGCTCCGAGAAGTGCCCACGGCCTCTGCCAGGCGGCCAGCACGGCGGGCCCAGGGGGGAGGCCAGGAGCTCTCTGCAGATGTCCAGCACCAGCTTGGCAGGGCACCGCGGCCTGGCAGGGCCCGAGCCCGCCGGGCAGCCCCCGCAGGCCAGGCCTGGGGCTCGAGGCCTGTATTCCTGCTGAGTCAGTGTGGAGCAGAGGCCGAGCGGGCAGGGCGTCCCACCCCTGAGCGCGCTCAGGCCAACCCCACCTCTGCAAACTGCACCTGAACAAGGGTGGCACTCGCCCCTTGCCGGCAGGCTCCCCAGGGCCCCCTCCTGCAGCACAGAGGCACTGCCCAAAGGCGGGGCGAGGGGCTTCGTGTGGTCACCTGAGCCCCTTCACCCACCCCCGTCTCTGGGCAGAGGTCACTAGCCCGCCTTCCCTGCCAGAGGAGATGCCTCCGTGGACGCTGAGGCTCGCTCTGCCCCAGCTCTGGTGGCGTCTGGCCCGAGAGAACCGCGGGGCAGGAGACAGCGGCCAGCCGGCACCCCACTCCCGGGCACCAGGCCGCCTCTCCGCTGTCCCGTTGCACAGGCCAGGGACTGACCGCGACCCCAGGGCCGTGCAGCTGGGCAGCACATCAGGCCCCTGCTCGCTACCAGCCAGGCTCCTGCGGGGATGCCAGGCTCCCCAGAGCCCCCAGGAGGGGGTTCTTATTCCTCTGGTCCCCCTGGGGCCGCGGGGATGGCCTTGGAACCCAGACTGGAAGCCGGGCCCACACTGCCCCCTGGGGTCGGCACGCTGAAGTGCGGGCGGGGAAGCTGCTGGCTGCGCGCACCAAGGGGAGCTCAGGCACGTAGACACAGACCCGCGCACACGTGTGCACACATGCGCACACACACGCACTCACAGACACACCCCAGATCACACGCGCTCTGGGAGCCACTGCCCCGTCGTGCCTCCCCTCCTGCCGACGCCAGGACCTGGCAGCCCCGGCACAGTCCCGAGCCCGCCAGGCGTCCGGCTCCTGAGCAGCCAGGGCCAGGGTGACCGGCGGTTTCTCTTGGGGGGCCCCCCAGCCGGCTGCCTCGGCCGCCCAGAGACGGGGCTGACCCCCCCCACATGACCTCCTATGGCCCTGGGCCCTGGGCCCCCTCCTTCCACCCACACCCACCCCACCTCCAGCAGTCTGCAGAGGCTCCCCAGGACACCAGTGAGCCCCCAGACCCCAGGCCCTTGGACTGCCCCCATCTGATCGGCTGGCGACCTGGGGAGACACAGGAGCCAGAGGAGGCCTGCGGGCCCTGAGCCCTTGAGTGGGGGACAGTGGAGAACAGAGCATGGCAGGGCCCCAGGGGCCCATGGTGCTGGCAGGAGCAGCACTCCATCCTGGAGGGAACTGGGGACCCCAGGGGGGCAGGCCTCGGGAGCCCTCGGGACCACCACCTGGTCCCCGCCAGACTTACAGGGCAGGACCCCGAAGTGCCCGAGGAGCTTCCTGCCGGCCGCAGAGCAAGTGGCCAGTGCAGCCAGGGCCGCTGGGCCGGTGCCTCTCAGCCCCCGCGAGCACAGTGTCCGCCGTGTCGCCAGACCACACGGGCTTGCCTAGCGGGCACCCGGCCGCGCCAGCTCCCCCTCCCTCGCCTCCCAGGACCGATTCCTGGTCACTCCACCCGCAGCAGAGGCCCCCTGCCCCCAGGGGAGCCAGGCTCAGCCAGGGGGATGCCAGCACCGATGAGGTGGGCACTCCCCCCTCGAGAATTCAGGGCGCAAAGGACCATGATGTCCAATGCCACGCCGGAGGGGGAGGCGGTGGGAGGCAAGCTTAGCCCCGCTTTGTGGGTGAGGACAGACGTTCTGCACGGGGCCCAGGGTCCTTGCCCCTGCAGCGCTGCCTCCTGCCCCACCAGCGCTGGCCCCGCCCTGCTCCTGTTCTCCCGCTCACCCTCTCTGGAGCGCTGGCTTTGCACCCCTCTGGACTCAGTCGGACCCTCCCCAGATGCTCTTCAGAGGCCAGGAAGCCCCCAGTTGCCGGGCTCTGTACTTTGGCTTTTCCAGCTGGGAATCGCCTTCCCCTGTGTCTGGAGCCCAACAAGCAGGTGCTCAATAAGAGGGTGGGTTTGTCCCGCAGCCCCTGACCCTCCTGGGGGTGAGGGTGAGGTGGCCTCTGTTCTCCTAGGCAGGACCGGGGGTGCCGTGCCCATCCGGCCCTGGCCTGAGATGCTGCAGATGGCTGTTTTCAGGAGATTGTCACCCTGGAGCTTTCTGGGGGCCTGGGGTGGAGACGGGAAGCCAGAGAACGGGGGTATTTCTGCAGGAAGATGAGAAGGGGTACAAGAAGCCAGGTGGAAAGCGCAAAGGCAGGCTTGGGGGCAGCGGGAGCCATTGGGGGAGGGTGCAGTGGGCCTTAGGGCCATTGCTTGGGAAGGGAGGGGGCCTGGCCTGCACAGCAAAATGCAGAGCTTGGGCGGGGGGGGGGGGACCAGAGCCGCCACTGCGAGGAGGCGCCCCGAGGCCAGGCAGACTCGACCCCCATATGCTGGCTGGCACCCTCGCTGCAGCCAGACCAGGGCCCGGGGCACCCTGGGTGCCATCTGATGGCAATGCTCTCGCACCCAACAGGGACAGGCCACCGAGGACGTCTGCCCAGCTCAGCCTGTGGCCAGCCAGGAGGAGGACCAGGCCCCGGGGGGCAGCCTCAGCAGGCAGTTCCTGCCCACCCAGCTCCTTGGTCCACTGCCCGTCCCCACTGTCCCTGGTTAGTCCCAGCGTCCACGCACAGTCAGCAGCTCGGGTCCCTCTGGCGGGCCAGGTTTCCTGGGGTTGAACACACAATTCTTACAAACACCTTCAATAGAGGACCCAGGCCAGAGCAGGTGGGGCCTACCTCCCCTCCCCAGGCTACTGGAGCATGGTCTGAAGGCCAGTGGGTGGGACAATCCCTGTCCCTGGCCACCTGAGGCTCCCTTTGCTGTGGCCATAACCTCCAGGGACCACTGGTCAGGGATATTCACGGGGGGCTGTCCCCCAAACCAACTCTGCAGAGTCCCACTCCGAAGCCAGGGAAGATCCCAGACCAACCTGAGCCTCCAAAACAAAGCTGTAGGTGCCTGCGGGGCTTCCTGGAGGAGGCATCTTGGGAGACCGCATGGACTGTTTTTCCGACACTCCACAATGACGCAGGCGGCACATGCAGGGTCCAGGGCCTCAGACCCCACACTCAGAAGGGCTAGGTCTCAGCTCAGCCCGCAGGCGGCACTTGACGAGGGGCCAGTAGCAATGAGGCGTGGGAGTCCTGCCCGTACCTGGGAGGCCTAGTGCTGGACTCCACGGTTCCCACGGATGGCTGGGCAGGGCTCTGGCTTCCTCACCTGTGCAGTGGGGTGGCGACAGTGCCCCATCACTGGCAGGCGAGGGCTGCAGCCCACTTTGCTCTGAGCTACATGGAGACACTGGCCTTGCATCTTAAGCCACCATTTTAACCCAGCCTGACAGTAGCACAGCAGCTGGCCGGTCACTGCAAGCAGAGAGGAGGAAGCCGAGGTTCCAGCTTCACCCCGAGACCAAGGCCCAAGCCACACTCCTGGCTGAACAGCACTGGCCGCCTGAGGCTCTCAGAGCAGGCCCTGCAGCGCCAGGGCAGCCTGTGCTCGGCACCTCCCTGGGTCCTCCCCTGACTTGGCTTCTCCTTCCCCATAAGGGGCTGACAGCTCAAGGCGGGGAGCTGGGGTGCAGAACACAGGCCAGCAGGTGGATGAAGAGAAGCAGCTGCGCAGACAGCAGACCAGGACTTGGCGCCACGGCAGGCCTGGGACGCAGGTGCCCAGCTTGGGGTGAACGGCCGGATGGGGCCGGCCTCCCCGCCCGGCTCTGTCAGTCCAGAGCCCTCCAGTGCCAAACCCACCATGGCCTGGCTAGTGGGGCTGCCACACCCCAGCTCTCCATCAGAGCCCGCCTGGGGGCTCGGGGAGGACCACAGAGGGTCATTGCAGGGAGGGCAGAGGCTTATTCTTCCTCCGCTCTCAGCCAGGAGGCTAGCCTTTTCTGTCAGACAGAGGCTCTTGTTTTGGGGGGACTGGGAGGTGCTGGGGCCCCTCTATGCCTCAGGAGCCTTGAAAGGGGCTTCTTTGTCTCCCAAGCAAGGGCTGGGGAAGGGGCATCCGAGAGTGGACAGGCCCTGACAGAACAGGCATGCGGGGTCCCAGACGTCCCTGTGGTCAGGACGGCTGGCCTGCAGAGGCAGGGTCCTGGCCCAGCAGAGACAGCAGAAGTGGCCACGACATCCCCCAAGCATGCAAAGGTCAGCAGGGCAGGTCTCTGCCAGGTGCCTCCGCAGCCCCTCCTGCCACCAGAGCCCAGGAACGCACCCTTTTCTGCCCAATCAGGGAACAGAGACTACCCCTGGGGGGCCACCGGGCTCTGGCCCAGCCCTGCCCGGAGCGCTGGGCTCCAGGAGCCCCCCGCCACTGCGCTCGGGGTGACCTGGAGTCGTGAGTCAGTGCTCCAAGCTGGGGGAGGGCAAATGCAGCAGGTGGCCAGCTCCCTGGCCTGGCAGCGCAGACGGACAGACAGCTGTCTGGGCGTGGGGGGAGGGGGCGCCGTGTGGCATTCCAGGCATTTCAGCACCTCTATAAAACCTTGCTCCATGGCCGGGGTATGGGGAGGCCTGTGGCTACGCTCCCCAGGCTCTGACTGCCCCCCACGTGTCCCCAAACAGGCCTGGGACTGGCCCTTGCCGATCCCCTTAGGACGGCGCCACCTGCTGGGCAGAGGCAGGATGCCACCTGGGACCCCAGGGCCTGGAGGGGAGACAGCATCTGAGAAGGCCCCCAGGGGTGCCGGCCATGTGTCCCTCCGTCTCGTCCCCTGTACAGTGGGAAGCACAGCGGCGTCCACACCCGGCAGAGGGACAAGGGAGGAAGAGAGCCTGGCGCAGAGCCTACAACCGCACTGAACAAATGTCTGAGCGAGCGGTTTTCAGGACACGCTCTGTGCGGTGGGGGCGGCAGGGGGAGCGCCCTGCTGGGGCTCGGGGAGGCTGGGGGCGCCATGCACACAGCAGCGAGTGTGCCGGGGGGCACCCGGGACAGGGTAAGCCCAGCAGGCGAGGGGGGCTGTGGAGCGGGGTGGGGGCTAGGTTCATGGGCTGGCAGGCAGAGGCCGCAGGCGGGCAGGCGGGTAGCACGTCCCCCTGGCTCAGAGCCCACCCGGGGTGCCGGGCTCCCAGCCTGGCCAGTGCTCGGCCGCCCCCACCCCTGCCTCCAGCGGCAGCCACAGCCCTGAAACATCCGGGCTGTCTCTTCCCCTCAAGCTTCCTCTCTCTCCGCTCCCCAGGCCAGTCGCTTCCCCCGAGGGATGACCGAGGGCCATTTCAGTCATCTCGGTCCTTTCAGGGCTGGACTCCCCCGGCCAGCGGGGCTGTCTGTCTGTCTCCAGGCAGCCAGGTCTGGGGCGGAAGCCACGGGCCAGCCGCCCCCACCTCCGCTCTGCACTCGAGTTCCAGCCTTTCTGCTGGGGGCTCCTGGGGCCACCCCAGGCCCAGCCACCTGTCTCCCCGCTGTGGGGCAGCCCGGCCCGGGCCCCTTCCACCTTAATCACTGCAGCACATGTGCGGTTCCTTCCTCCCCCTCCACCCTCCACCGCCGCCTCCTCCTCTCTGCCCGAGCTCACAGCCCTGGCCCTGGAGCTCACAGCTGCAGAAAATGCTCCCTCAGGCCCAGGACCAACCGCGGGGTGTCCTCCCGCTCTGAGCAGGCCACGGCTCCGGACAGCACGTCCTGGCACCTGACGCCTAGCCACGTCCCCTCACCCACCATTTCCACCCCGTGCAGAGCTGGGGCTGGGGCTGGGCTGCAGCCGAGGGGCCTGGAGGTGGGAGGGCCGGGCGTGGCCTCCCCGAGGACCGCCAAGGCTCGCCGGCCTCTAACTGAGTCGCACACAGCGGGCGCTGGTTTTCCCATCTGGAGAGGGCCGGGCTCCTGAGTGCCAGGCTGGGCTGGAGGGCGTGGGCGTCCATTCACTCTTTCACAGAGTCATTCACTCAGCCAGCCCTGGCTGGGGCGCAGGGGGCGGGGGCAGCGAGCTGCTGGGTACACCCCGCACCCCCACAACACCCCACCGAGCAAGGGAGGGTGGGGGGCAGGGACCATCCCCACAGCCAGCAGAGGAGCCGGGCAGGGCCGAGAGGAGACTGGGTGGGTGGGTGGGGCGCGGCGGCCGAGTGGTGTCTCAGGAAAGGGGACATTGCCCTGGGGGCTGCGGAGGCTGGGGCCCCAGGAGCTGGGGAAGGCTGGAGCAGCTGGGCCTCTGAGGTCCAGGAAGGAGCCAGTGGACTTGGGCCGCAGGTGCAGGGCCAGAGTGGAGGCGGGAAGAAGCCGGAGCTCGTATTCACGGGGACTTCTCGAAGGCTCGGCCTCAGGTCGCGGGGGCGACAGCTCTCCAAAAAAAACCAGAGGCAAGTGCTGGTCACGTGGGTGGCAGCTGTCAGGCCTCGCGGTGCTGCTGGACATGGGGGCTTATGGCCCTGCCTCCCTGTGGGCGCTGACACACAGCTGCCCTCGGAGCCCGCCGGAGCGGAGCAGGACCAGAGCCGTCCTGCCAGCGCCGCCCGGAGGCTCGCCCGCCCTCCCGCGCAGCCGCACCTTCCGCCCGGCCATGGGCACGCTCGCGGCCAAACTGCTGCTGCCCACGCTCAGCAGCCTGGCCTTCCTCCCCACGGTCAGCATCGCCGCCAGGAGGCGCTTCCACATGGAGGCCATGGTCTACCTCTTCACCATGTTCTTCGTGGCGGTGAGTGCCGGGCCGGGCCGGGCCGGGCGGGGGGTCCGCGGGGCCCTCCCAGAGACGGGGAGAGGAGCCGCTTCTCACCCAGCCCATGCTGGGCCATGAGGAAGGGTGGCTGGAGGCGAGAGCGGCGCCCAGAGCCAGGGGAGAGGGTGAGGGGCAGGAAACCCGGGCCTGGGTTTCCTCTTCTGAGCCGGAGGTCGCTCCGGCATCACGGCCCCTGAGGGCCAGACCGAGCCCCCAGGCCAGGGCGGTGGACGAGGACAAGCCCCTCCAGGGAACCGCCCCGGCCGCCTGGGGCTCACGCTGCCCTGGCCAAGAGGACAGAGACGGGCGAGCCAGGCCCGGGGCTCAGCGGGGTTCAGGGGCACGGCGGGCTGGGGGGCCGCTGAGCCCAGAATCCCAGGGCTGGCGCCAGCACAGGGTCCGGCTCCCGCTCCCGTCTCTCTCCGCCCCGTGGGCCCTTCCTCTTTCTACTTGTGCACCCGGCGCGTCTCCCCGAGCTCGGCCCCCTTTCTGCGCTTCTTCCCCGGCCTCCTCTTGCCGGCCTCCTCTGTGCTCTGGGTCCCGTCTGCTCTCTGCGTCCGTCTCTCCCCCGTCCTCTGGGCGGGGTCCCTCTCAGTGTCTGGAGTCATCCCCTGCAGAAGACGCCCCCTCCCTCACGCTCCGGGTCGCTCCATGCCAGCTGCCCCCCACCACCGGCCCTGCCTCCCTGGGCCTGCCCGGCCCTCGGCTTCTGCCTGTCAGTCTCCCCGGGTGCCTGTCTGATCAGTCATCTCCCCACAGACTCAGCCGTCCTTCCGTCCATCCGTCTGCCCTCTGTCCCCCTTAGTGAGCCCTGCCTGCCTGTCTCGTCCACCCGCCCTCTCTGCCGGACCCTGGCGTTCTCCCCGGCCCAGAGGCCTCTCCCCAGCCCCCTGTGAGGAGCGTGTGCCGGGAAGCGAGCGTCCCCTCAAGCCCCTTCCCGCAACAGAGCCAGACAAGCGGAATCCACCAAGCGCGAGGGTGCCTGGGCAGCCCTGGGCAGGGAGGTCCGCGCACACGTCACACGGCCCCTGGAGCAGGAGGCCAGGCTTGTCTGCAGGGTGCTCCCCATTCAGGGTGCTCCTGGAGGAAGCCGTGACCTGGGGGGGCTGGATGCTTTGAGGTGCTGGATTCCTGGGCTCCGTCTCTTCCTGCGGGGGAGACCTCCCTCGTGGTGCCGGCACCGGCGCTACCCCAGACGGGACTTGCCGGTCTTCTACACACACTCAGGCTTCCCAGCTCCCCGAGCGCCCGGGACTGTGCTCCCTATTTGACAAGGGAGGAGCCTGAGGCCCCCGGGGCTGGAGCTGGGTGTCACTGTGGGCACCAGCGGCCTCCGGGCTCTGGCTCTGTCGGGCGTGTTGTCCAAGGCCATTTGTGAGCCCCGCCTGGACTAGGGCCGTTGGTGAGCCCCGCCTGGACGAGGCAGTCCGCGGCAGGCGAGGAGCCGGGGTCTTGCCCTCCAGGCCCGGGTTAGACCCAGCCCCCGAAACCACAGGCACAGCCGGGCCACCCCACCCGCGCGGGCCACAGCTGCCCCACAAGCGCTCGGAGGCCCACCCAGCCCCACCCGGCCAGAGTGGCAGGGGCAGCTGCCTGCGCTGACAAACGTCCTCTGGCCCCAGCGCCACATTCCTCCCTTCTCCCAACGCCCCGCGGGACCCCACCGCAGCTCCTGCTGCCCGCGTGGCTGCTGTGCCCGCCAGCACCTCCTGGGCCACCCCCGTTACAGAGCCGGGCAGGGCCGTGTGCCTGTCAGGGGATCTCCGGCCCAGAGCGGCCGCCGCTTGCCTGAGCTCACACCGCAGGGCCCAGAGGCGGCCTCCGAGGGCTGTCCCACCCACCTGCCCGCTGCCCCACAGAGCAGTTCCCACTGTCGGCACGAGCCCGGGGGCCCAGGGCACCTTCAGATTGCTCCACACCCCGTCCTGGGCCGGCATCCCATGGCAGAGAGGCATCTTCCTGGGCGCTGAGGTCTCGAAACAGACAGCATCCCCCTACTCTGGGGCGCGGGGCCGCAGATTCCCGGCCATAAGCTGTGACCCCACAGCAGCCTGGTCCAGCCACAGAGGCACAGGGGCACAGGGTGAGGCGCTGGGGGCGTCTGGAGGAGCAGAGAGTGCTGAGCTCAGAGGGCCTGGCTCTGCCTGCCCGAGCCCCAGGAAGCCAGTGTCCGCCTCCCCCCGCTGTCTCGCAGAGATGTGAGCACCGTGATCAGGCCCCACCTGAAGCTTCCCTCTCTTGAGCTAAATGGTGGCGTCCACCATCTCCCTGGCCTCTCGCCTTGCCTTTGCCGGTACCACTCCTGAGGAGCAGCACCCAGAGGCCAGCTCGTGCTCTGTGTGGTCTGCTCAGGACGGACACGCAGTACTGTCTTCTCCCCTATTCTGGACACTGCCTGAGCTGGTGCCCCCTGGGTGCCCCCCACCTTTAGTCATCTACCATTGTAAACTGTTGGAGCCCTAAGTCCCCCCGACTTGCTTGCCTTCCCAGGTGAGCCAGGCTCCTGCCCCCCAGAGTGTCACCCCCCCACAGGCTTTCTGGCACCTCTGCCTCCTGCTGAGCCGGGCTCCCCAAGAGCCAATTGTGCCCGTCCCCCCACTTGTTTGTGCCCGTGGAAGTTGTCAAAATAATTACTTCATGTAATTAAATATTGCTTGAAGCGGGGAGGGGTGTGCGCCAGGAGACGCTGCTGTGTTCCGGGAGGAACAGTTGACTCCTTTGAAAACACACGGCACAGGCCCCTGGCTCTGACGTCAAGACTGTGCCCGCGGCGGATCACGGCCAGCAGGGCGTGGGGGATGGGGTGACCCAGAGGCCGTCCAGCAGGGCCCCCCGCCCCACCGAGGGACAGAAACCAAGGCTGAGGCTGACCATCGGTTCTCAAAGTGTGTTCCCTCCAGCGCCAGCCCCTGGGCCAGAGAACCTCTTAAAGAGGAAAATCCCCACCTCCACCCAGACCTGCTACGTCAGAGCTTCCCATGTGACACCCCCAGGGCAGCGCAACGGGCACCCAAAGGGCACGCTGTGGCCTCCGATGGAAAGGTGGGTGCAGGCCCTGGGTGTCCACAGACCCCCTCTCGGTGAGCTCAGTGGCCTGGAGACACAGTGAGACTCGTGACCGAGGCCCCACCTCCCTGGGCTTCTGTGACACCCGGCCTCCACCCACAGGACCCTCGGAGGGGAGGGGTCAGGTGCCCCCATTTTTCAGAAGGGGAAACTGAGCCTAAAATCATGGGCAACTTGCCCAAGGGTTCACAGCCATGAGGGGCAAGCCCAGGGGTGGGGACCCGGGACAGGCCTGGCTCCCCGGAGGCGGGGGCCCCGGACCAGCCAGCAGCCCCCTGTGGCTTCTCCCGCAGCTCTACCACGCCTGCCACGGGCCCGGCCTGTCGGTCCTCTGCTTCATGCGCCAGGACACCCTGGAGTACTTCAGCGTCTACGGGACGGCACTGAGCATGTGGGTCTCGCTGATGGGTGAGTGGCCGCCCCCGGCGCCCGCCCTGCCATCCAGAGCCCGAGGCCGACTCTGTCCCCACCGGCCTATTAGGCCCTGCTGTCCCCGGGCAGAGCCAGGCCAGTCTCTGGGACACTCGCGCAGCTCTTAGACGCCAGCCCCGCCTGGCGTGTCCTCATTAAATGGCACGTCCGACAAGGCCTGGGTGGCGGATCTGCCAGGCAGGTCTGCTCACCCCTTAGGCATCTCTGCGGCTTCTCTCCCGGCCCCGCAGCCCTGGCGGACTTCGACGAGCCCAAGAGGTCGACACTGGTGATGTTCGGGGTCCTGACCATCGCCGTGCGGATCTACCACGACCGCTGGGGCTACGGGGTGTACTCCGGCCCCATCGGCACAGCCGTCCTCATCATCGCCGCCAAGTGGGTGCGTACCCCGCCCTGACTGTGACACGCCCCCGCGGGGTCTCGGTCTACCCCTGCCCCTGAGGGGTGGGCTGGACGGTGGGCTCGGGATGGCCGTAGGGGGCCCCAGCCAAGCAGACCTGGCTTGAGTCGCGTCTGCCTCACTCACTCAGGACCTCTCCACTTCTTTCCTCTCTGCCTCGGTTACAATCACGGTCACAGTCAGGTGGCTGGCTGCAGCTGAAGTGCTTGTCCAGAGCTGGCTTCTCACGGGCTCCATGACGGGAGCCATTTTTATTATTGTTGTTGTTGTTGTCGCTATTAAAGAGAACAGCTGATTTTAGAAATCAGTGTCAACTGGAAAATGGCCTTAGTTAATCTCAGAAGACTTCCTGGAGGGGGTGAGGCTTGAGATTGGTTCTAATGAGATGCTTTGCACGTGGCCCCAGGCTGCCCAGCACCCTCTGTTGTACCAAGGCCTTCTTGGCTGCAAGGACTGAAACTGCCCACCCTAGTGACACCCAATGCCGGCCTCAGTTTCTCTCAGCCAAGAAAAGGAAACAGAGTTAGAGGAAAAGGAAAGTAGTTTAATTTGTCGACAAACTGAGGAGGGCAGCACACCCATGCCTGAAAGAGCCCGCCCTGCTCTTCAGCAGAGGGCTGGGTGTGGATACAAAGGGGTCAAGCAAATGGGAGATGGGAGAGGGTGGGCATGTCCTTTTGATGCAGGCCTGCAGAGGTTTGGGTGGGCACCAGCTTGCTCTGTTAACACCTGACGTTGAACGTCCTTGTTATCCTCTTAGGGATGTCCTTCCTTTGCCTGAGAATGCAAGAAGACAAGCTTGGTAGATGCAGCAGACAGGCATGCAGGCACCGGGTGGGGGGCAGGAAGAGAAACCCGCCCTGTCTCCCTGCATCACTAGCCCAAGCTGAAGCGTGATGGCTTGCAGGTGGGAGCCAGGACTCCATGCTGGCCCCAGCAGGAAGGAGCTGACTTAGCAGGGACTTGAACTCCCCCTGGAAAGCCCACAGGCTGGACCTGATCTCCAGGCCAGCGGCAGCCCCGGCCCCAAGGTCACCTCCCTTCGCCTCCACGTACCCCCCTGCTGCCCCCCTGGGGACCCAGTTCCAAGGCTCACAGGAGGCCCAGGCCAGGCCACACGTCCACTGAGTGCCTGAGCTGAAGCCAAGCCAGCGGGGCCTCAGGGAGTGGGTGGGCACCCAGGCCAGGGGAGCACAGCCCTCAGGGAAGGAGGGTCAGGGGGCGTGGGGAGGGGTGCCAACCAGCCCATTTTACGGCCACAGGGAGGGAAGATCAAGTCCTGGCGGTGTGTTTTCAAAATACCCGGTCCTACCGGCTCCTCCCCACGCGGGGGCTGGGGCCGCTCTCCTGCCAGTTGCTTAACGAGGGCTGCGGGCTCAGGGGTCAGCAGCTCCACAGAAGCCGCGGCTGGAGGGGCCCGGGCCTCCGATTCTCCAGCGAGAGCAGAGCAGGAGCCTCTCTCCCCTCCAGCTCCGGGAAGCAGGCTGGCCCAGGCTGACCCCAGCTTGGGAGAGGGGCGGGATGCGCTGGGCCGTCTGGTCTGGAGCCCATTAATTAAGGCCTGGAAGCAGAGCGCTGGTCCGATAAGGGCTGAGCAGGAAGCGGGGTCAGGGCTCCTGGTTCCGCCCTGCGACTGAATTCAGGCCGGAATTCAATTCACAGAGCAGAAGTCGGCCCCCAAAGCGGTGGGGAGCCGGTGGGGAGCCGGCAGGCCTCGGGCGGCGGACACGGTTGCTGGAACCGGTTGCTGGAACCGGTCGCTGGCCTGGTCCCTCTCTCTGGGGCTCAGATTGTGTTTTCTAGAACATTTGACATGGAATTTATGTTGGATTTTCAAGGGCGGTTGTTTCCTGGAACGAGGGTCCTTTTTTTGCTTGCAGCCTGTCCCTGGGAGCTGGGTCTGGGCCCTCGGCCTCAGGGCGCTGGAGTGGGACTGGGTGGGGGGGGGGGGCTGCGGGGGTCGATCTAGGCCAGGTCCTGACTCCAGCCTCGAAGGCAAATTCCACAAAACTAAAACCAGATACTGTTTCATGGTTTGTTTTTTGGCAAAAACTGCCCTGACCCAGAGTGAGGCCACACGCGTGCAAGGGGGTGTGCAAGGGGGTGTGTGTGTGCAGGTCTGCTTGGATGTGTGTGTGCAGGTGTGCATGCATGAGGTGTGTGTCCTCACTGCACTCGGTGGGGCACATGCAGTTAGGGGTGCTGCCCCCACCCACTTGGGCTGCCACCATTTTTCTTGCTGAGACCCTACGCCTCCTGCACCCTGTAACACCTTGGCCCCAGGCGGTGGTTTCCAGGGTGTGGACCTGTGTGAGCGTCCCCTTGTCAGGTCCTGAGCCATCTCTGTGAGTGCACCCCCCGTGACCACCCCACCGAGCATGGGTGTCCAAGGACCCGCAGGCCTCACACGCCAGGCAGGCAGCTCTGGCAGACGCTCCCGCGAGTCCGCTGCCTACACAGCCCAGGCCGGGCGCTAGGCCCCCGAACCCCTGCTGTAGAGTCATCCCGCCAAGTCTCCTGGGACTCCCCTCTGGGGGGAGAGGGGGAGGCCTCAGGGGTGGCTTTTCTGGCCCAGGGAGGCAGGCACAGCGGGGTCCTGGCAAGGCCCAGGGGTTCCCAGCCACTCACGCGGGCCAGCTCTGTCTCCGGCCCTGCAGCCTGCTGCTGCCCAGGAGCCCGCCCGGTGCCCTAAGAGCCTCTCTCCCCGCAGCTGCAGCAGATGAAGGAGAAGAGGGGGCTGTACCCCGACAAGAGTGTCTACACCCAGCAGATAGGCCCTGGCCTCTGCTTCGGGGCACTGGCCCTCATGCTGCGCTTCTTCTTTGAGGTACCTAGGCCGGGGGAGGGAGGGCACAGTATCCTCGGCCTCTGGAGCCCTGCCCTGCTTGGCGGGGGCTGGTGGTCTCCCCTCTCCTATAGCATCTCACTCCGCACACAACTTCCCACCCATGTCCTGGCCTCAAACCCTGGTGGGGTCCATCCTCAGCACCCCCAGCATGGCTGGGCCTGGAGCTGGGGTCACAGGGGCCTTGAGAGCCCTTGCACTGAGATGAGGGCCTGGAGCTGGAACTGCTGCTGAGGCGGGGTGTAGGGGGAGAGATGGAGGGGTTGTGGGGCGCCCAGCCTCGCTGTGGAGGCGCAGACCCGGACTCCCAGGCCCTGGCCCAGGACAGCACGTGAGCACCATGGTGGGTCCTGACTCGTCTGGGCAGTGTGCGGGGTGCTTTGGAGGAGGGCACGGTTTAGCGGGGAGCACCCCAGGTCTCTGGCAGGTGCTGCGGCAGCCAGGCAGCCAGCAGAGGCCCAGAGCAGGGCGGGGGAAGGGGGCTTGGAGGAGGGGCCGGTGTGTGGGCCGGGGGAGCTGCAGCCACCCCTCCCGCCCGCAGGACTGGGATTACACCTACGTCCACAGCTTCTACCACTGCGCCCTGGCCATGTCCTTTGTCCTGCTGCTGCCCAAGGTCAACAAGAAGGCGGGCAGCACGGCAGCCCCTGCCAAGCTGGACTGCTCGACGCTCTGCTGCGCTTGCATCTGATTCCGCACCGCCCCCACGGGGCCCCGCGGCCGCCCTCGGCTCCAGCCTGGAGAGGGCCCCAGACAGACGGCTGCCTCCCGGCCTCCCCTCCCCGTCCAGTCCAGGAGGGCTGTCTTCTCACATCCCGAGGGCCCGGGGCGCGCAGAGCACCCGCTGTGCCAAGTGCTCTTCTGTTTGTTTTGTCTTTCCCCACCCTCCCCCCCCCCCCCCGCCCCCTCGGCCCCTCTTCCTTCCTGCTCCTCTTGACCCAGAGCCCGCGGAGTCTTTCTTACTGTCCACTAGTTTCTGTAAGATGTACCGTATCAGGCCTCTGCTGCGCCCGTGTCCAGCGTCTTTTGGTCATTCTGCCTTGCTTCATTGGCCACGAGGCCCTCCGTTTTGCTGGAAAAGTCTGCACCCCCTCTTTCCGTATGTCTGTGCAGCACCCCATGCTGTGGACACACCCCATCTCAACCCAATCTTCTGCTGGAGGACACCTTGGCCACTCGCTATTATAAATAGTCCCACATAAACACCTCTTGAGAGCCGCGGGGTGCAAGGGAGAAGGCCCAGCCCCTGGCTTCCTCTAAACAGGCCAATAGTCAAACCAGCACCAGATTGAGAAGAGAAAAACTCAAGGGAAGTTTAGGGGTCACATGTCCACCTCCAGGGCACAGGGTGGCCAGCATGGCCAAGTCGCGCTCCCAAGAGGCTTGGCCGATGCCTCCAGCGGCTCAGCAGAGACTGTGGGGAAAGCAGGGGCCAGTGGGGAGCTCACTGGGGACAAAGCACGTTACACTGTGTCTTCTCCATTGAAAAGAGACAAGGAGTGAAAGAGTTAGGATGCTCCTGGTGCACCCCAACTTTATAGAAGTTGACCTGTAAATGTTTTTTTGAAAAGCACCCTCCACCAGCCCTTAGAGCTGCCCCCATGAAATCAGCCTATGTCAAAAGGACATATTGGGGGGCAGATTTGGGCTGTCCTACAGAACCTACTTCCTGGACTTCTTTGGGAGCTAGAAGGGGAACAGAACTCCCCACCTTCTGCTCCAAGACCTTAGAGCTGACCTCCCTCGCCACATCCAGAAGCCCAGCCCAGGTCCGGGCTCGAAAACCAGCCCACCCTGCCCCGTGTCCTCCCCATGGGCCTCTGTTTTCTTGTGAAACTGGTGCCACCACTTCTGTCCTGTGCCCTCAGCCTGGAGATGCCCCCATTTGGAAGCGGGGCTGGGGGCAGCTATGGCCCTGCCTGGGGCCTGCCAGCTTCCTGGCCGCCTCTCTGGGGGGCTCCCAATTGGTCTACTTTAGTCACAATCCCTGCAAGAAGCCCCAGAGGTGTTGCCCTTACTGCGGCTGGATACCCCATAGTGACCACTCCTTCTGGTCCTGGACAGACGTCTCTGCACAGAGCAGGCTCTTTCCCATCCCAGGACCTTGGGGTGCCTGGCTTGTTCTGGGCCAGAGCTGGTGGGTGAGGGCTGGTCTCTAGGCGGGGTCAGCCCCTCCCTCTGAGCCCACAGGTGAGGCCCCGCCCACCTGGAAAGGCGGGTTTGGGGCAGGCTCCCTCGCACAGAGGCAGGTGGGGCCCACGGCAGGCTCACTGGTCTCCCACCGTGCAGTGGGGGTCAGCCGGCCCCAGGGATGGCAGAAGCAGGCCCCCCAGACATCATCTCACAAACCTGAGCCTCTCCAGCCACCCCAAGACCGGAAAGATTCTGGGCACACGTGTCAGGCAGGAAGTTACCTGCGCCTGTCTGCGCCTGTCTGCATTTCCAGGCGGTGCTTCCACCCAGGTGCTGGGTACCCCAGAGCCACGCCACACACACCCCAGGGCACCGGGCAGAGCTGGTTCCTGCGTGTCAGATGGCACTGGCTCCTTGCCTAGCTCTGGGGCTGGATCATCAGTCACCAGCGCCCCTCCTCAGGACCGCCGGCCTGTCCCCATGCAGGCGCCCCATGGGCTGGCTCCATGCCCCCCAGGGAATAGCGGATCCATCAGCTCTGATCTGGCTGGGGAGGGCGTGCACCCACACAGTCACTTGCACACACCCACACCCACCTGCCCCCAGACAGCCTCCCATACACACAGGGAGACTCCCAGTCTCAGCACCTGATAGGGAAACGTGCAGATTCTGGGACCACCAAGGGGCTGAAGCAGGTGTCTGCACGGGGGTTGGCCTCTGCCCATCCCCCTTCCCCCAGCCTGACCCCACCCATCACCTCCCTCCCACCCCAACAGCCCCCCATAACAGCCCCCCATCCAGGAGCACACCCAGCTCCCAGCTCCGCAGAAGCACACAAAGAACTAGAGGTTCACAGGGGTGACAGGGGAAAGGGGGGGTCTGCAGGCGCCGGCCTGCACTAGCAGGCCACTCGCTGAGCCGCTCTGATTCCTGCTGCCGTCCGGGAGCCCCGCCAGGACTGTAAGTCACGGACAATTAGGCAGCACACTGCAGCCCTCGGCCCCATCGGCACTCAGCTCAGACCAGCTGGGCCCCTCCCGGGCGGTCGGCCCCTGACACCACCCTCGGGTCCTGAGCCCGCTTCGCAGATGAGGATGCTGAGGACAGGACTCGGGTGTCCTTGGTCACTGGCCCTGAGTTGCTGGTGGTGCCCACCAGCCCACGCTGTCCTCTGCTGGCCAGAAGGCCTGCTGTGACATCTTAGGGCTCGACCAGGGGGACAAAGGGGCACAGGGGAGGAGCCACCCCCAAGTGCCACCCCACACCACAGGAAGGGCCACCACGTTCAGACCTAACACGTCTACATCCCGAGGGTCTCCCTGGACCTGACCCTGAGAACATAGCACCGGTGCCAGGACCCCAGCACTCCTGGGGCTCCGGGCAGGACGCCCCTTCCTCCCACCGGGGTAGGCAGCGAGAGGCTGAGTCCTGAGAGCTCCAGCTGAGCGCCTGGCCCGGGGCGCTGGATACCTGGAGGTTCTAGAGCAGCTGAGGCCGCCAGCGTGGGAGAGACCCCCGCTGGGCCTCCAGGTGTTGGAAACCCGGCCGGAGCAGCGGCTGAGACTTTAAACGCCCTCGATGTGAATGAATTTCAACTTAAACAGCCGCCTGAGCAGGCCCGGGGACGAAGAGGCTGCCCACGACCCTGGGCCTCGGCCAGTTCGGGTCTCCTCACCTGAGACTCACGCGTGCTGACAAGCGGGTCACCGTGCCCCGGGAACTGCCACGTCACAGGCGTCCTGCGTGTTAGTGGGCACCATTCCGTGGCTAGCGCAGCCGCTGGGGACAGTGAGGCGGCCGGAAACAGGAGGGCTGGGGCCGCCCGCCCATGTGGGTGCCCTGTGCTGGGCATCCCGTGCCGGGCGTCCTGGGCTGTCCTGCGTGTAGCCAAGCACCAGGTGGGGGTGGGGGGGAGGTGGGGGGTGTTGCAGAGCCGGGTGCTGGCTGTGGACCCCCCAGGCAGGACATGCAGGGCGGGGGGCAGGATGGCGTCCTCCCGATCCCGGGTGGGGAGGTTAGCGGCCTCCGCTGGGCCTGGCCACACGTGGGCCTGGGCTGGGCACCTCCGCGGCCCACACGAGGAGCCTCGTAAACGTTTACAACAACGTGGACAAAACAGCGGCTCTGCCCAGAGCCGAGCCGGGGAGGCTGGCAGGCCGGGGCGCGGCGAGGGGGGCTTTCGTCGCAGGCCGTGTGCGTGAGCCCGTGGCCCTGGCCGCGTCTGCTGCTGAAATTTCCTGTCTGTTATTCTCCTCACCGCTCAGACCATCTGAAACCCAAAACTTTTATTGCCCCTTTTAAAAGGCTTCGCGCTCCCATCTCCCGTCTGCCCTGCGCCTGGCCATGACGGCTGTCGGAAGGGAAGCTGCCTACCGGCAGGAATCCATGGCCGGCCGCCGGCCAGGTGCTCTGCGGGGGGTGGGAGGGGACGTGCAGGAAAGCAAGTGAGGGGCCGGGGAGGGCCGGGCAGGCGGCGGGCAGCAAGGCCGCGGAGGCGGCTGCAGGCCTCAGGGGTAGGCGGCGTGCAGCCGGCTGAGCTGCGCTGGGAGTCGACACAGCGTGCATCCACCAGGCCTGGCTGCTGTCCTGACTGCCCCCCATGCTGCGCCCTGGGGTCCGCTCCTCCATGGCCCACTGTCTTCACCCCTCATGGCAACAGCAGCCCAGCCCAGACAGCTCAGACCCCCCTGTAAACAGTCAGAGGCGGGCTGGACTGGGAAGGGGTTAAGAGTGTACAAAATGCAGAAAGAGGAGGGCCAGGAGCCGCGGGTCAGGAATTAGGCCTGGGTCCCAGCTCCCTCATCTCCCAGTGCTCGCTGCCTCGGCTTCCCTGTTGGCCGTACTGCCCACCTACGGGGGCCAGGGAGGTCACTGTGCGTAGAGCAGGCATGAGGCTTTTCCAGGGAGTCACTGTCATCTTGTTGATCCGTGTTCATGGACAAACATGGATCTAGAATGCAGGGTCTGCAGAACCCACATCGGTCCTCACCTTCGGGTGTATTCACCCCAATTATGGCACCCCCATTTCCCGAGCAAACAAAATGCTTTGAACCAATTATCTATTATAATGGATTAAGGAAGAAAGCCAGAAAGGCTGCCTGGAAGAGGCAGGCTTAAGGTGGAAGCTGGAAAAGCAAAGTGGACCGAGCCGAGCCTGGTTCTTGGGTCTGGCATGTGATGGTGTCACCGTCCCTGGTTCTGAGCGCCAAGTGGCTCCCCGAGCCCTGTGGATTCATGGGGTGCAGCCAGTCAGCCTCCCTGCCTGTGCAACCCAGGGGTGCAGACACCGGAGGAGGAGTGGGGGACATAGGGGGTGTCGGAGACTGCAGGAGAAGGGCAGGGCCCAGGGAGAGAGTGGGGAAGGTCAGTGGGCCCTGCAGGGGCTGGTGTGGCCGTGGAGAGTGGGGTCCCCAGGGCCCGAGGGCCTGCCGGTCAGGCCCTACTGCCGAGAAGGTGGGCAGAGCAGGGGACAGAGATGTGGGCCTGGAAAGGAAGGGGCAGTTGCCCGGGTGACACCGGCAGACCGGTTGCCCTCTGGAGCTCTGCCTGGGCCGCCAG